AGCAAGCATTTATCCCTACTTTCACAATCAGAATGTATCCCAAATCATCCTGACAAAGAGAATGCTCTTAAACACCCTCCGTGAATCAGTGAGGAAGAAGTGGTCAGGGCCAGGGTTCTGGCCTTTGGCAGGCTGGAGGGAATGACAGGATCTGGGGCGCTGATCATCTCTGATGCTGACGTCAGAAAGAGGCCAGCAGCCACCTGGTGCCTCCTGATGAAATGCCCAGCATCGCTTTGGAAAATAAGCCAGAGCCTGGCCAGGCCTCCAGACGTGCCGGACACATGGGGCACAAGGGATGCGTTTGGAAACTCGTACCTTGGACATGCAGAGGCCAGGTTGAGACAGGGGGCTCTGCAGGTGAGTGACATGGTTCCGTCCACAGATTAATTTCATGGGGAAAATCAAGGTGAAGGGAAAACTTCTGGATTAATTTTGGATTTTTCTGGAAAATATGCTTCAAGTTTGTATTTACTCAAGTTTTATTTACACTTGACGTCAGTTCCATCTAACTTTGTTATTGACCTTTTGGAGACTTTAACGCATTGTCTTATCATTTAAAAGAAGATATTATATGTTTTTTTGGCCAGTGCCTCCCTCACTTTCTCCTTTTTCCTCTTCTAAATCAATGGACTTTGTCCTTTTTTAGCAGTTTTGCACGTATAGAAAATTGAGCAGAAGGTACAGAGTTCCTAAATACCTGTCTCCCTCACCCCCTCACATTTCACACTAGTGTGTTACGTTTGTTAGAACTGATGAGCCAGTATTAACCTGTTCTCATTAACAAAGTAACTAAAATCTGGAGTTCACATTAGAGCTCATTGTTGGTGTTGGACGTTCTGTGGGATTTGGCATGTGCCATGTGCCGTTATGTATGTGCTGGAATGTTTGATGCTGTAATGGAACAGAGCGGCTCCGTCGCCCTAAAACTTCCCTGGGTTCCCTGTCTCCCAGTCCCTGACAACCACCCATCTTTTACTATCGCCACAGGTTTGCCTTTTCCAGAGTGCCAGATTGTTGGAATCTTGTATCTGTAGCCTTTTCAGATTGGCTTCTTTTGCCTAGCAGTATGCAATTAAGGTTCTTCAATGTCTTTTCATGACTTGACAGCTCATTTCTTCTTTTTAATTAGTGCATATTATACAGAAAATATTCATCTCGGCATATTCATACATGCGTATTACATACTTTGATCATTTTTGTCACCCGTCACCTCCCCTCCCCATTTCCTTTTATTCATGAATAATATTCTGTTGTTGTATGCCCCAGTTCCATTCATCTTTGGAAGAACATTTTGGTTGCTTCCAGATTTTAGCAGTTTATGAATAAAGCTGCTATAAACATTTGTATACAAGTTTCTGTACAGAGATGAGTTTTCAGCTCATTTAGGTAAACATCAGGGAGCATGATTGCTGACTCGTGTGTTATAACTATGTGTAGTTTTGTAAGAAACCATTGAACTGGCTTCCAAGGTGATGGCGCCATTTTGGATCTCCAGCAGCACTGACTGGAGCACCTGCTGCCCTGGGTCCTTGCTGGCATTTGACATCATCAGTGCTTTAGATTTTACCCATTGTAATAGGGTGTGAGGTACTATTGAATTGTTGTTTTAATTGTCAACTCCCTAATGACATACAATGTTGAGGAGCTTTTCATCTTCTTATTTGCCATTTATATATGTTCTTTAATAAGACATCAGCTCAGCTGTTGTACTTTTTTTTAAATGGTTGTTTTCTTACTGAATTGTAAGTTTTTTGGATATGCATCCTTTGTCAGTTGTGAGTTTTGGAAATATTTTCTCTCAGAGTGTGACTTTGTTTTTGTTCTCATTATTCATTCTCCTAACATCCAATTTTACTGTCAGTTTGGAAGATTTTTTGATTAAAGAAAAAATTCAGCTCGTTGAGAATAAAGCTTGCTTGTATTGCTTGGGGTTGTGCCACCTTTAGGATCAAATCCTTCAGATTGTTGGCTACAATATCCCCATTTGCTCTGTCAGAAACAGAAATGTAAGTGGTGAGAGGGAAATTCCAGGAAGAGGGAAAACCATCCCTGACTAATCTCTCTCGGGAATTAAAATCAACCTTTCTGGTTGCTATCCTAGGAAGTAGTGTATGTGAACTGGCAATACCTTTGAGTCAAAGCTGACTGAACAGCATACCAGAAATGATGAGGTTCAAAACTCTTAGCCATATGTGGTTAGGTGAATTTATCTATTTATTTAAAATACCCCTGTGAATGTTTTTTAAAGCTACTCAATTTTTGACTTACAATGGCTATATGTCCCCACATCCAATGACAGTAAGATTTGATCACTTAATGAAAAGCATGTCTTTGAGAGCCATATATTTAATGTACTTTCTCCAAATTTTCCAGTCTGGTGGTTGAGCTTTAGTCATGTGTTAGAGGTTATTATCTACGTAGATGTCAACAAGTAGAAATAGTTGGCTTGAAAAGTTGAGTAATGTGCTAAGAAAAATCATCTGAATTAGAAGAATCACGAATTTTTTTTTAAAGTCAAGAAAGATTGCAGGAGGGATTCGGTCCGAGATTGAAAAAATAGGTTCAAGTCATATCCCAACCCCATCCATTGGCGGCATTGTTCTCATCCAGATGTGCAGAAGGGAGCGCCAAAGCCCCTCAGGCCAGAAGGAAGGAGCGCTGTGATCCCTTAGGGGTTTGTCATCCACCAAAGAAGGTGTAGTTAGAGCCTCAGCATATAATCACCCTACTGCATCCTCTAGCATCCTTCTTCAAGACCAGGACATGGAGACTGGAATGACTTGGTGACCTTTTCTAAAATCACCCAGCTAGGTGGCAGCTGTGTTGTTATTTAACAGGTGGAAATATCATTGTTTCCAGGCCATATAACCATCTGCAGTAGATTAGACAACTGGCCCATGCTCTTGAGCCCAGGAGAAATACCTCCAGTGTGAGGAATGGACTGGCAGGTGATTGTCTTAACAAACTAGTGTTCACAATGTGCTAAGATATGCAGGAAAAATGCAGTCTATTCTAGAGAGAGAGATGAGTCGGTAATAGAAATCAGATTGTGATAAACAAGGAAAGTGGGAGTCAGTCAGCTGAACAGTCTTACGTCAGCTCATCCATGACACCCGTCAGGCAAATGGAAGTGCACGCAGCAAGGTGGCTCATTGAAACGATGCCAGGCAGCCTATGGCATGTGCCGCGGTGTTCTCTGATGGAGGTGGGCTCTAATCTGCCTCTGTTTGCTCACTGAGAAAGTACTTGGACGTTGCTGGGGTGTGTGTGTGTGTGTGTGTAGATAATGTGGCCTAGCTAGAACAACTAGATAGTAAGAAGGTAACTGGTGTAAAGAAAGAACAGGACGTGTTAACACTAACACTGATTCCTGGCACCAGCAGGAGTTGTACCTGTGCTGTTACAAAACACATGCCTGCCACCTGCTCTGGGTTAGTGATTCTGCCATTTTCCAGCTACTGGGCTCTAATAATGGCTGACGTTCTTGGCTTGTGTGATGGAGCAAGGTTGAATACTTTATTTTAATGCCAATCATTCCATAGAAGTGGGTGATGTCATGACCATTGCACAGAGAGAAGAACAGAGCCTCGAAGAGCTGCAAGAGACCCACTGAGGAGCCAGGCCCGGGCGCCATCTGATTCTGAAGCCACTGGGCACCAACAGCCCCATGTAGCTTCTCCGCACCTCTGCTGTTAACTATAAAGTAGAAATAACACTAGCAGAAGCATTGGAAGAGCCAATAGCTTGTGAAAACTTCATGATTTGTCAAGAATTATTTAGAAATAATATGCTGTTATTTAGAAATATTTAAACAGCAAGCAGCATTGCATTGTTGTACCATTGATTCATAGGCGATGAGCCATGTGCTGTAGTTTTGCTAAAAAAATTATTTATTTTCATATTTTCTGGAAGTGACTTTTTTTGCAAGTGCATCATTGATTATTTTAGTTAGCTACAATTTCACCTTTACTATCATAAATTTACCCTTTGTCCCAAGCAGCCATGCCGGAGGAGGCTGAATAATTAAGTCTCAGCACAGTTACAGCCCCATGGGGACACACCCACCCACAGCTCTTCTGATCCTTATTTTGGCCTGGATGTCATTTGTCAGTTTTCATATGTCTCATTGTTAGTACATTCAATCTTAAAGACAAATATGCTTAAGGTATTAGATATAAAATATTAGTGCCACACAAACACAAAAGTAATTTAGCTTAATTGTTGCCAGTTAATCCATGGCAGACTTCAAGGCCATGTTTAAAGAACTTTGAGGCATTACATGAAAATATGGTAAAATGTATCAAAATAAATTAAGCCGACAGATTTTTTTCCCCAGATGAATACCTTTCCCCCTTTCTCCAGGTAACTGCTTGATGATCCAAAAAAAGCACATGCACCTGTATTTTATGTCTGCAGGGTAATTAAAATCATTAAACTTAATGTTCTGTTATGTTAAATAAGTATTTGTTCTGGCATGCTCTGGGAGGCTGAGGCAGGAGAACTGCTAGTTCGAGCCCACCCTGGACAGCTTAGTGACTCAGCAAGACCTTGTCTCAAAATAAAAACAAAAGCAAAAAGGGCTGGGGACAGAGTGTGAAGGTTCTGGGGAAAAATATTACTTGTTTTCAAAGAAACTAAGAGAAATTTGGAAACCGTAATACAGGACTGACATGCATGGCAAAAATCAAGGATAACCAGATGGGCTGAGTTTAACCGGCGTTAGGAGAATGACCCTTGGAGTTTCTGCGTGAGGACCATCACGAAATAGTTGAGGCTCCTGAGCATCGCATCGGGGCTTCCCGCTGCTCTGTGCAGGAGTCGCGCCCAGCCGCTGACCTCTGGGTCCCTGCTGATCGCAGGGCTGGGCTTACCACTGGGCTCCACGTCTTTGAGCCTCTGTCTTGTCCCTGCCTGGACACTGCCAGCCCTTTCCGGGTGTGCTGACCGCGCCCGGGCCACTTCTCAGCGCTGACTCGGTCTTCATTCTGTTTCCTTAGAAACGCTCCCGAGGGCAAGTGCTGTTTGACAAAGTGTGCGAGCACCTGAACCTGCTGGAGAAGGACTACTTTGGCCTCACGTACCGCGATGCCGAGAACCAGAAGGTGAGAGTGCGGAGGCCGGGACACACGCTCGTGCGCTCACGGTCCCCTCCGCCCTTCGCACCACGCAGGCCAGGTCCCTCCAAGCCGCTCAGTGCCCGTTCCCTCCAGGAAGGGCACCTTGACAGCACCCTAGGATCCTGGCTGTTTTGAAAAGAGCAAGTCAGCTCAAGGGTGTTCTTCACCCATGAGTGAGCTATGGCTCCAGCAAAGCATGAGCGTGTGTGTGGATCTGTGCATGTGGCCCACAGATTCCAGTGGGTTTCAGGGAAATCAAGTACTTGGATGCTCGTGCAGAAAACATGCTCTTGCCCCAGATTGCCGTGAAGATGCTATAGTTGTGACGTAGCTGTCAGGGCTGCGTGCTGTTGGGACTGCTGTCCTGTTCTTAATTCATCTTATGCTTTCACTTTCTCACCAGTCAGGTGGATGTTTGCAGCCTCAGACCTGTCCAAAGTCTTTTCTAGGTGTCCAGTGTGTAAGGCATTACCTCTATAGACGCTTACACCCAAACCAAGCTTTCTATTTGGAGCTTACCCCGCAGCTGGCTGCAGAAATGAAAAAGAGGAATTGTTTCCATTGTATTGATGCAAAACATTGAAGTGTCACTTATTTGTGTGTTGTGCCCTGAGTGTTGCTAATGAAGTTACTGGGCAATGTCTAATTTCATTATTACATGTCTGATTTTTCCAGTGAGGAAAATGTCAAAACTCAAGCGAACATTCCATTCATTAGGAAATTTTCAGGTAGATGGCTCTCAGTCTGCGATCACAGATGTCGGTCACCTAGAAATGAATGGCTAAAACCATGTGGACAGTTGCATGTACCTTCTTTCTGGGAATTTATTTGAACATAGAATCTTCTGTCATTTCCCTTCAGCTTCCATGTTAGCTCAAATCCCTAAGTCAATGGTTGTAAAAAAAGAACAGAAAGAAAGAAAAAGGCATTCCGTGAGGCGGGAATTGTCCGTGTGCGCCTCTTCTCATTGGGCCCATGTCAGGACCTGCACAGGGCCTGGCTTCGGGTTGCAGACGGAGGGAGGGGGGCCATGGGGGCCTTGCCGCGATCACCCTCTCACGTGTGCTTAGGGCCTGTCGGTACCTAATCGTCAAGCCGTTTTTATTCTTCTCTGATTCAAATTCAAAATGTCATTTCCTTTTCAGAATTGGTTGGACCCTGCTAAGGAAATTAAAAAACAGATTCGAAGTAAGTTTTTTCAGATTATTTTATTACATAAGGTGAAGATTTGTAGAGAGCAGAGTAATAACCACATCCGAGTGGCCAATGTGAATAGCTTTTTGAAAGACAGATTCCAAGCTCAAGTTTGATTGGGCAAATTGGTCCGGCTCTGACAGTACCCATTTTCCATCATCACAACTGAAAAATTAAAATGACTTTGTACTTGGCCAGTCCCCTGTCTCTACATAGAGAGAAAACATGTCTTAAGTGATATGCCAGTTGTCACTTAATCATTTAAAGTTCCAAACTTAATATTATATTAAACCTAACTGCCACAAGCATATGAAAGCCAACCTAAGAGTAATGGTCACGTGATAGTTTTAAAAACTGGAATAACAAAGAAGACTGAAGTTATTGTCTGGTGACCACCTCTTTTCTTGGGCCCAGAAGATAAGTAAAGAAATGTATATTTCCTAATGGACAAGAAAAAGTCCATGAGCTTCTCAAAATTTGAAATAAAAGTAGCTAATAAGTACTAAGCAAGTTAAGACAGCTAATGGTTAAATGCAAGTTAAAATGAAACGTCCTGGGCTGTGCTTATGGGTCAGTTGTAGAGCAGTTGCCTGACAGGCTGGAGGCCCTGGGGTTCAGTGTCCAGCAGGTAAGGAAGAGAGAGAGGAAGGAGAGAAAGAAAAGAAAGAAAGAAAAGGGAAAAGAAGAGAAAGGAAGGAAACTAAACAACCAAAACTAGCATCACAAAGAAATAAAAGGGAAAAGGAAGAAAGAAAGTTAAGAAGGAAGGAAGGGAGAGGGGCCCGGGATTTAGCTCAGTGGTTCCAGCGCCTGACTCGCAAACGCAAGGTCCCGAGTTTGATCCCTGGTACCGGGAGAGAAGGAAGCTGATCCCTTTTCACCTGTTTGGATTAGCAAAGACTTTAAAAATTTAACGAGTTTAATCCTGAATTTCACTGGCAAGTATGGACCCAGTTGACAGAAGTATAAATTGTTGCAAACCATAGAGAAGGCATAGTATTTATTAAAATTTAAAATGTACTTGCTGTCTGACCTTTAGTTTTACATGAAGAAATTACTCAGCATATGTATTAGAGAAAAAATGCATTCGTGTGCACATGAATGCTCATTTCTAGTACTGTTTGCAGAAGCAGAAAACTAGAGGAGACCTAAATATCTATTTGTAAAGAAATGATGACATTAGTCATAGAAGAGCCATAGAATTGGGCTTGGCTCTTGTTAGTGAAAATTGGGTTGCAAAATAGTGTTTATGACATTTGTTTTTTGAAAGTTATTTACACAGAGCCACATGGGAAACTTGTGGGGAGCATGAAAAATAGTAGCAGTAATAAAAAATAAGGGGTTGAAAAGGAGGAGGGTTTTTTTATTCTTTAACACTTTCATCACCTATAATGTATTTATGTATGTAATCTTGAATAGCTGATTTTTTTTAATTCACATTTTTAATCAATAAAAACTAGATTAATTCTCCTGAACACCTAACTCTTTTTGCAGGATAAATTTAAGACCAGTTTATTAATGACAGCATCATTCCCATTCAAGTTTTCAAATAGCTTACTATTAAGAAAGAACAAACACTTCTTAGTACCTGTGTAAGTTCTGAGATAGCAGAATACCCTAAGTATTAATAAATTGTAACCGCTAGTAAGCAGTTTGAAATGGTTTCATATGAAGTAACACCCTGTTGATCACTATACTTCTAGATATTAGAGAATTTGTTGATTATTTATATAGATAACATCATTCATCATATTTTTAGAGAAATTTGAGGTATCTATAAACTAGAAACTTGATGATGAATTAGTTTGTTATTGAGATTGAAAACAAGAATGGCTACAGTGGGATAAATAGGTGAAACACATTTTTCTTGTTCCAAGGAATCCTAACAAAAAGATTAAAATGATGAATATGGCCTACAGATCTTTTATGGAGTTATTAAGACGTGCTAAATATATATCTTAGCATTTGGGGTGTCTGACGTAGTCTTTATTCGCCTAATGAGATGCTGGCCTGGTTAACAACTGCAGAGTGCTTTGAAAATTTATAAAGTATTCCAGGGTAAGTTATGGCACTCTTGCAAGTAAGGCTACCTACAAGTGGCTCTTTTCTTTAATATTGCTGATAGGATTCTTTTGTCCCCTCATTTCTCTTTTGTGCTCCCTCCTTCTCAGACAGGAAAGCTAAAGAGACCAAAACAAAATGTGAAACTTAAAAGATGTTTCCAGCCTGTGGGTCAGGCAGTATAGGTGACTGTCACCTAAAGAAAACTGCCCATCTTGCAGAGGAGGGGACAGGAAAACTTGGGATGGCTTTAAAAGTATAAGTTGGTATTTCTATCTGTATTCCTTGTTGCTTGCTATCCACTAAAATGCCTCTTTGCACAAAATTCAGTCCTACCAAAGCAGGGAAATAGTATCAGACCTAAAGTACTTATTTACCATTGCCTCCTCTTCCCAGCATAGATGAAGAAAGAGTGTTTCCCGTCTTCATTATGCAAGTCCACAGCCCGACCTCTAGAATTAAGATCGCTCTGTGGAGCCCATGCTGATGAATGAACATTTTCAGTTACAAATTTATGACATAGTAATTTCTGAAACTGAAAAATTTGTTCTTCGGAACTAATTCTGGTCCTGCATGATGCATGCCATATCTCAAACAAAACTCCTAAATATACTCTATACTCTATTTTGTGACTGTGAATCTGGTATATTTGTGGTATAGAATATATGATTTACAGTGGTTTTATGATACCAATGCAGTCTGTTTTGAAATCTTAAGATTTTGGCATTAGAAATTTTTCACAAGAATGAACTCCACTCAGTGCCACAGTTTTGTGTTTACCCTAAATTTGTAATTCAAAACCCTACATCAGCATTACAGAAATACCTATTTTCTTGTGTCCAAGCCGGTTCATTTCCTGTTTCTGGTCAGGTCAGGGCCGTGTCTGAGCAGACGTAGGCCGCAAGCCAGCTCATGTATGAGCACATCCTCCCAACTGATGGGTATCTGTTCTCTTCTCAACGGGGAATTCATCTGCCTGTTCATTAAGTTTTGGTTTTATGCCTCATTTCACTGAGGAGTTTTTTTCCATTCCAAGGACTGAACTCAGGGCCTTCACACTGAGGTGTATCCCCGTCCCTTTTGAAATGTTCGTGTTCTAAGACAGGCTCTCACTAAGTAGCTGAGCTGCCTAGACTGGGCTCAAACTTGCGACCCTCTTGCCTAAGCCTCCCGAAGTGCTGGATTACAGGTGTGTGCCACTATGTCAGCTTTGCTGACCTTTTGCCCCTCTTGGTTGCAATGTCCATTGTATTGCAGTTTCTCTAAACTTCACCATTGTTTCAGAATAATGTCCCAAAAGACCTTGTAGTTAGTTTTTGATATATAACCTTAGGAATATGGAGTTCTTAGTAATAGTGATCTTCACTGTGGATCCAAAACCCTCCTGTATTGGAACCACAAGGGAGCTTATTAAAACCACAAGCCTGTACCATATTCCAGATCCGAGGAGTAAAAATCTTGGAGGTGGAGCCCAAGCATTGGCATCTTTAACAAGCACTTCAGATACTTGTTAGGCCCATTGTAATGTGCAACTTGCTCTTCCAGAATGAGGATTTTTGCATTGAAATGTATTGCTCATAGTTTTATTATTTGTTAGTTTCCAATGGAGAATTTTGACCAAGTTTATTATAAGATTGTTTAATTACATTGCCAGATGATTCACTGGAATCAAGGCATACTTTGAAGTGGATGAAAATTACAAAAGAGCATTAAACCATTTCCCATAACTAATCCATTATTTTTAATTCTGCCTGCTTGGGGGAGAAGTCAGCTCTCATTATGAAACCTTATTATTGGCAAACATTGGAGGGATCTATTTCAGTAGAAAGTGAGCAGGAATCAATAGAAAAGTAAAACCAAATCAGACTATTTTTAGAATGACAAAGGACTTTTTGGAGAACAGTGGAAAAAACAATCACAAGATTTATATTTGATGGGCAGAGGTTTTATAATTTCTAATTCTTCCAGCTCATGTTTCAGTGATACTTTGAGTGGTTTAAAAATGGTATTAAATAGCCAATAATATCTAGTCCTCTGCTAAATCCCTCATGGGACCACTTGGGTGAGATACTTGGCATGTAGAACCCTGAGTGTGACATACAGGGTAGTGTCAGGAATAAACGTGGATTTATGACAGAAATGTAGGAAACTGGTGGAGCTAAGTATTGCCATGTATGAAGAGAACAATGCAGGAAACGAGCTGATAAATTCATCGCTGCACCTTCATTCCCGATGTTTGGGAAGAGCTCGTGGAGAAAGTGGAGTTTCTGGAGAATATTTCACGGAGTGGGTGCATTTGGATGTCTGAGGAGATCACTCGAGGCATGCAGGGTGTCGTGTCAGGGCACAGGCATGACAGCAAGCACAGGCCATAATTGGAAAGCTTCTGGCATAGAAGCTGGGGGGCCTGGGATGAGTTCTCCAAGGCCTCATGCAGAACCCAGCCAGGCCCCAGGCAGAGGAACTTTCAGTAAGAGGAGTGTCGCAGAGAAGTGACCCCCAGATCTTGATAAACGAGTGCATTTAAAAGCCCAAAGGAAAGAACAAGGTGAATGAATTTAACAAGTGATCACCAAGATGTAATAAGTGCAGAAAAGGATGTCTTTGTCATGTTTCTGTTGGTAAATCGTTCACAAGCAAAGGTAGCATCATGACCCATGGAGCTCAGTAAGGCTGTTTCAGAGATAGATGTGGAGTAGGCAGCTGTGAACTCCCATCTGGCTAACCCTTTCCACGGCTGCAGCAACGCTAGGTCAGTGCCACCGAGTGAAGACGGTCTGTCCTATCAAAGGCTACGGAGGCGTAGCATTGCACAACGCACAGGAAATTCGCTCAGTATCTATCTCGCCTAAAAGTGCCGCGAGTGAACAAAGACTTCAGCAGCCAGATATTAAAGCATTATTCACTACAGCCAACCTTCCCATGAAATACAACTGTGTTAGCTTGTCCCTTGACATTTATTATAATGCAGCTTGACCTATAATAACAAAGCAGAGAGGACAAAGACAATGGGAATTATGTTTGTAGTGTTGTTATGTGAGCTGCCCAGAAATTCATTCCAGGCTTATCTGATGGAGGATTTTCCATATCATTTACGTTATCCCTTCTTCCTTCCGGAGGCTTATCTTTGATGCTAAGAACGGAAGGAAGTTTGGTGAATTGCCTCGCTGGTTAAAAGTGCCTCTAAAGGATTTGATTGAGGACACGATTAGAAATTAGAGGAGGCTTCAGACTTATCTGTGGCTTTGTTTAACAGAGACTTGCTTGTTTTCCGTTAGTGATCAGAACTGGCCGGGTATTAGTGCTCGGAGTGAGGTCCTTCCAGCAATCAGTAAAACTCATAAGTGAGTTTTCCAAGGTCTCACTCTGACTTGTTTTCCTGTCCCTACAGGTGGCGCTTGGCACTTTTCATTTAATGTGAAGTTTTACCCACCAGACCCTTCCCAGCTCTCTGAAGATATAACCAGGTATTTGATTGCTGTCTGTGAGCAGGACAGCCACTCTGGGGGAGCTGTGGGCCTCTCGGGGGGTCCAGAGAAGAGGATGCTACGTGTGTGGCTGTAGTCACCCATGCTTACATACCAAGAAAAGGACAACTGCGTGAGCGCAAACATCTGACGGGAAGCTTTGCCAGATCCTGTCTGGTAACAGCTGACTCTGGTGCTAGCCTGACACTCCCATCTGCCTGACCCTGGTGGGAAAACAGGCAGAATGGAGATGCTGTCATCCACCCACCACTGCAGAACTGGATGGGATTCAGCCTTCAGTGCTGTAGCCATTCTTGGTGCTCTGCTTTATAGTAAAACATGTCGTTAGATGCTTACGCTTTATTTATACCAAAGTTGATGCTTCACAGTTGTTTAAAAAATCACAGACACACACAGAAAGATACAAACAAATGCATATAAAGCTAAGAGTTTGCTTTTTATGCCCTACATGTACAAGGAAATTGATTAATTTGTTTTCTGGAAAGAGGTTAAGAAAAGAATCTAAACATAAAAATATTCCAGCTTGGGCCAGGGATTTAGCTCAGTGGTTCTGCCACCTGCCTTGCAAGCACAAGGACCTGACTTCAATCCCCAGTACCGAAAAAAAAAAAAAAATTCCAGCTTGCTGGCTGAGCTAAGTGCGAAAGGGACTCCTTTGAGAAGCAGTGTTGGGTGGCTCCGTCGGTTCCAGTTACTGTTACAGAACATCATGGCCTGGCTGCTTTATAAACAATAGAAATCTATTTCTCACAGTTTCCAAGGCTGGAAGTTCAAGGTCAGGGTGGTATTCCTGTGAGGCTCAGCTTCCAGTTGCAGATTCCTGTCCTCTTGTTCTCTGTGTCCTGCCATGGTGGAAGGGCCAGGGGTCTCTCTCTGGCTTCCTCGGTATGGGTGCTGATCTCCTTGATGAAGGCGTGACCCCTTGCCCAGTTATCTCCCAGAGACCCTGCCTCCTACTCCAGCACCTTGGAAATAGAATTCAGCACATGAGTTAGAGGGTGGGCAGGACACAGGCATGGAGCCATCCTACCTGGCTTCCCACGTGTCCTCCTAGACTTCCCTGCGTTCTGTTCGGGACCCCCCACTCGCTCTGCGGGTAACATGTTCATGACCAGACAAAGTGACTCCGTCTGGTGCACAGAATTTCTACCTGAGCCTCACACCCTCCGTGAGGGGCACTTTTCATCAAAGGGAAATTACTCCAAACAGGTTCAGTCAGTTGTTAGGATCAAAAACAGTTTCACTAGACATAATTGGAGGAGGGTAACAACACGTTTCTTTTCCATTTTAGATTTCTCTCATACTTGCAGTAAATCAGAGTAAAGATACTTTTTAGTGAGTAGTGAGGGACTGTTTAACTTGCGATTGTGGAGGCTGTGTATACCTAGATTTGAAACTTCAGTGATTGGTTTCTTTCTATCTATGTGTGTAGTGTTTGGAGAACCTGTCAAGTGTTTAAGGGTTTTTATATCTGGGTTATATGGATTTTACTTACACTTAAAGGGACTTTAAGACTTTACATAGTCCTCCTTTTCGACAGAATCACAGTTTATTGCCTATATGAAAGGTAGGTGAGAGGTATTATTAAAATTCAACAGTGTTAACCCTGGACTGTCTTAAGACAAAATAACAAAGAATACAAATCAGCTGTCAGTGAAGATGTTTTATGCTATCATGGCAAAATTTCATGAAAAACATTGTATATTTCTTCAGTTTAAAACTGTTTGCTTACAGTGACAAGATTCTCGGATTTTAAGATCGTAGTTCTTTAATGTTAGTATTCAGCTGAGTTAAACTTTGGAAAACATCCTAGCTTTTGAGGGCACAGCTGGTGTTACCTGAAGTCTGGCTTGGTCATAGGGAAAGACCGGTCATCTAGATTTGAAATGAGGCCTCCGGAACGCTGGTTGGGACTAAGAATCATATTTAAGAGCATCATATTTATATTGTAATTTCCTCAACTAAGTATTTATTGGGAGTATGTTGGGAACTGTTCATTTGACTTTAAAAGTTAAAAGATGTTAGGAGGACATGTCTTTAGATTTCTTTTGCTCTGTCCGTTACTGATAAAGTCCTGTTTTATTATGAAAACGGCCTTTGTCTAGGCACCCTTAAATACCTTTGCAGCCCAGGACTTTCCCCTTGTGTCTACATCACTTGTAGATGAAATGAATGTCAGCAGGGACAGATGTTAGAGACTGTGTCCTAGCAAGGTCACTGGACAGCACGCTTACCCACAGTGGCGCTGAGCGGTCCCCCCATGCCTCTTGCTGGCCTCTGTCCTGCAGGTACTACCTCTGCCTCCAGCTACGCGATGACATCGTGTCTGGACGGCTGCCTTGCTCCTTCGTGACCCTCGCCCTGCTGGGCTCCTACACGGTCCAGTCAGAACTTGGAGACTACGACCCTGACGAGTGTGGCAGTGATTACATCAGCGAGTTCCGCTTTGCCCCGAACCACACGAAGGAGCTGGAGGATAAGGTGGTTGAGCTGCACAAGAGCCACAGGTTGGTGGGGATGCTGAGCGTGACTTCGCCTCATGCGTCATGCTGGGGACACTGCTCTTCGGCCATCCCGGTCATGCTCTCGGTGCACGAAGGGCAGGTGTCAGCAGTGAGTCATACCCAGGAGAGCTCTGGGGTGGGTGAGATCCCTGCAGAACACCGCTGTCCATTTACAGTGTCTTCCCTCAAAGCCGTCATCGCATTACACTTTTCTTACGTACAGGTTGAGCCTCCCTAATCCAAACTGCTTAGGACCACAAGTATTTCAGAGTTTGGAATTTTTCAGACGTTGGAATATTTGCGTGTAAACAATGAAATATCTTGAGGAAGAGAACCCAAATTTAAACGCAAAATGTATTTATTCATTTATTTATATTTTTATACACGCAGCCTGATGGTGCTTTTACACAGTATGTTTCAGTGTTCCTTCGCTTTGACTGCGACACATCCCATGAGGTCAGGTGTGGAATTTTCCCCTTGTGGTGTTGTGTTGGAGCACTTCAGACTGTGGAGCATTTTGGGTTTTGATATTTAATTAGCAGTGTTCCACCTGTATTTGCCCATGAATCACTGAGGACTTTCTTGTAAGATAAAAAAAAGAACTAACTGGAAAATTTTGCAGCCCCACCAGATAAAAGAAGATCAGCTACTTGCTTTTTAATTTCTAATTCTAATTGATAAGCAGGGAAACCAGCCTTGTAAATACATTTTTTTTTTCCAATCAGAGGAATGACACCAGCGGAAGCAGAAATGCATTTCTTGGAAAACGCCAAAAAGCTCTCCATGTATGGGGTAGATTTACATCATGCCAAGGTATGCCTTTTCAAACCCAAAATTCTTTCATTCAGTTCAGTGTTACTATTTCAGTAAGCTGTCGATTTATACATCCATTAACATAAACAGAATCTTTGAGGATTCAATTTGTGTTTGCCTTTTAAGCCTTATTCCATGATAAAACTATCTTAGCTCTGATATTCACAGAAGGTTAGTCTTTGTGACTGAGACTTATGTCCTAGTTACTTTCTTGTCACTGAGACACCATATCCAACACCCACAAGTTGAAGGAGGAAAGGTTTATTTTAGGTCACAGTTTGTAGAGGTGTCAGTCCGTCATTGGCTGGCTCCAAGGCAGGGTGGCATGGCAAAAGAGAAACAGTCCATGGTATGGCAGGCAAGAAGCACAGAGAGATCAAGGAAGGAGGGCAGTAGACTTGCCAGGACATGGTCCAGTGACCCACTTCTTCCCAACACCACACTGAGCTATAATCCACTGATGACTATCATGCCCCCATAATCCACTCACCTCCCCAGGCCCCCACCTATGAGCAGGTCAGGCTTTGGGGTGACATCTAGATATAAACCATTACACTTAGGTTACTCCTGGCCTAGGCTCCCAGGAAGCCCATGGTAGGCAAAGCTTCGGATTGCCAGTTGATTCTGTTGGAAATGTCCCTTGACCAGACAAGCCCTCAGCTCACCTGCCCTCCTGGTTACAGGTTACAAAGGCAACCAAGTGCCCTTTGCTCCCACCAAGCACTGTCTCGCCTTTCCCCCAAAATATGGCCCCCTTTGTCTGGACTGTCAGCCTCCTTCCTATCTGTCTTACTGTCTAAACTTGGCTGATTGTCTAAGCCCCAAGTACCACGTCTGTTATGTTATTCTGGAACCCACCCAGGCATTAATAAGTTCATGTTAAATTTAAATTATTCTATCTCTAAAGTTTAAATACTGTGCCATATAACCAGTACTTTGAAATAAGTTTTTTTTGTTTTTTAAAGTTTCACTTAAAATTAGGCCTCCAAGCCAACGGTGATGTTGCAAACTGCTATCGGGTACAAGGTTAGAAGGTGTATCCTGGACAGAAGGAAACCAGAGTTGAGCTGTGGGAGGGTTTCAGCTGTGAGGGAAGAGGGATCAGCTTGAACCCAGCACTGTGCTTCTTTAGTAAGAGAGTGAGTCTGTAGACTACTAGTCTACTCCTTAAATCGCTGTGAACGAAAGCACTGTGGTAATTCAGGAAAGCTTTTGTAAAAACTTTTATCAGCAAAATAAGTGATATTAGGTTGGATTCTGCTGCTTCTGCAGTGTTCAAAAGGTCACTCTCCCAAGTTCAGGGGTAGTTTCTTCTGGTGACAGCTGACAAGATGGTATTGTCCTTTGTAGGGATGCAGATTCAACCTGTGGTAGACAGTTGCCAGTTTCAGTCTGGGACCCCAAGGATGTGCAGTTGCAGGCTTCCAGGCAAGCAGTGTCCTACACAGAGTCAGGTTCAGGGCCAAGAAATGAAGACTGGCTGTGCTCAGACAAACATCTTAACAACCCTGATAACCAGAGAGAGGGAAATCTGTGATCTGGAAGTTCCGTTGCTGATGGAAGTGAAGCTGTTGTTTGGCTGTTGTTGACATTCAGGGAGCAGATCGACACACGATGAGTTTGGACCGGAAGTCGGTGGGCATCGAGTCCATGAGGTTTGATTGGTGATGTCTGTGAGGTTCTCAAGGCCGCGCGTGCACCGTCTCTGAGATTTGGCTGAGGCTTCCGCCAGGAAGGTGCTGGGATCTCGGATGCTGAGCACATTGACATTTGTGTGTAATTACACCAGCAGGTGTGGCTTTATTTGCCCGTTCGTTACTATGCCTTTTCACTTAATTCACACTCAGCGAACAAAGTGTTTTGTAGTTTTTGCCAAGTATACGTTAGAGGGAGGATTTCAATGTAAAAATATGATCCAGGCACTAAGATCTTTTTATTTTATTTTATTTCTTTTAGAGTTTTTAACCTACCTGGCTAAATGATAAGGACACAAGAACAAAATGAAATCAGCATGAGAATTTGAGCAAATCTAAAGTATTTTGGGGTCAAACCATGAACTTTGATTCATTTACTGCCTAGACAAAAAAATAAGGATTAGGGCCTATATTTAGGGAAGTGCAACTCAGGATGTATCTGTTTTCCAATCAGTAAAAATAAAGTCTCTTGTCATTGCTGGAGCTATTGAGTTGGAATAGATGGCTGCTTTTTCATTCAGTAATATGATTTGAAATTATGCCAATTAGAAAGAAAGAATTAAGGAAGTGCAAATGCAGCCTGTTAGGAGACTCTATCTGAATAGTAAGTATAACAGATGCATCGGTTTTAGACTCCATTTTCCCATCCAGGCAGGCTTCATCATTTCAAGGAGAAAATTTACTGAATTAAATTAGAGCTCATTTCCGGTTATAAAGGAGATGCTTTTCTTCTATGGCTGGTAGGAACGGCCCGGAGCTTTACGGTCCACTTAAACATCTTGAATTGTGGTCTTGGAGCCTGCAGCTCTGTGTAAGGAATAAATGCCAGCCGTGCAAGCAGAGTGGCTGGCTCTCAAGGATCAGTGACACCAGTCACTTGTGAGCATGACAGCAGATGTAGGTCCTACATTTTGGAAAGCATGTCCTAAATACTTTATTTTTTTTTTCATAGGAAGGATGACTCTGCTTGTGTGTCACTTAACATCAGTCTTAATAGGCTTTGTCAGAGCCTTTTATTTCAAGTAAGAGTATGCAGTGTAGACACAATTTCCTCTCAGATGTCTCATGGACCAAGCAGTACTGAAGGATTAGCAGTGTTTGAATGGGGACTCAGACGGAGGGAGCAGTGTGGCCCTTTATTCCTTTTGTGGTGGGCTGAGATAGTCCCGTGTCCGTAGGAACAGTAGCATCTACCCCTATTGAATGGGAAATGCACCTGTCCCCAAGCAAGGCTGTTAATACCAAAGATTTATCCAAATAGCCACATACTGTGGCCTGTGGCAGAAAATTCAGTATGAAAATATCATTCTTTGTCACCATTCAATTAATGAAATTGAGACTTGCATCTGATGTAAAACCCCACTTAATCCCTCCATTATCATTTTGCGTCCGCCTTTTCATTTCTCTTTCAGCAGGTGTGTATGTTGTACATTGTTGGCTTGGTACATGTGGACAGGCCCTGTGCTGACCCTAAGATCACAAAGATAAAATGGAGATGCTTCTCTTAACCAGCCTACAGTCTCCAGGGGAGGCAGCTGAGGGAAGCTCGATTCAGCACCGTATGCTAAGGGCTACACCAGCAATAACACACTGATTTGTGGGCCCAGAGCAGTGCGTATTGGAGCCCACAAGGGCAGGAAGTGTCATCGCCTTCCTCCTCTGCCCCATGCACTAAGGAACACTGTTGCCTTATGATCGCTGACACGAAGGAGTGATTTAAAACACATAATAATGAAAAGGCTTTAAACGACCTTTCCCTCTGTAAGCCAAAGACATAGCTCCTAAACTTACAGTCTGTGTGTGAAAACCAGCGACTCAGAGAGGAGCTATTCCTGAAGGCCTCCTCGGGCCTGCCCTGGGGAAGGTGGTCACCTCTGAGTTGTCATGGGGCGGGTGGTTTCCTGGCAGGGGCAGCACCTTGGGAGCAGCAGGTTGTAGCTCTTTACATTGCTCTTTCAAATTCAAGCCCTCGGTAGATGGCAGGCCGTTTCTGGTCTTCGTGTTCTCCTCTAATTCTATTATACAGTAATATCCTGCCGTGATACAGTTCCACTACGGGAGGGTAATTTGGTCTCTAAGGGAGAGATCAGTGACAAAGTAAGATATTTCATTTTAAACCAGTTGTATCCCGATGGTCATCTTAACATTTCCCAGAGACCACTGTCTTTATTTTACATTGAGATATGCATCTTGTTCATTGCATGGACAGGAGTTGAGAAGTCCCTTCCCACCATATGGACAGATTCTCCTGTCTGGATTCTCTAGTTGTCCCCTTTCTGTTTTGCTGGTGCAGCAGAGTGACTCACAGCCCAGGACAGCCTGAGAGAAGTGACAGGGTCAGAGCCCCAGGGCCGGAGTGTAGCATTGTGGGGGTGCCCGGCCTGGCACCAGTGAGAGCAGTGAGTCAGGGGGTGGGGTCTGCAGCTCTAGCAGCCCTGCCTGCTTTCCACCCCAGTCAAGGCCACTGTCAATGTCATCTTACCTGAACTCAGTGGCATAGCGGGGACTGACTGAAGGCATCTGTCTCCTGAGCTCGATGTGACAGCTGAGGACCTACACATCACGCATCCGAGGGAACTACCTAGAGGAAAGGCACAAGTGGCAAAAGCCAGTCTCAGTTACAGAGTGGCCCAGTGTTTCTTCAAAGCACACTGTGCACATATTTAACATGCATCCGTGCCACCATGTGTGTGTCGTCGTGCTCAGTGTGAGCACTCCCCAGCAGTATGTGAGGGCTTCAGGGAGCACGCTCACACTTTTCCGTGACTATTTTGTATTTAACTTTTACTCTGGCCGTCGTGGTATACAGAGGACTGAGGTTCTTTTTAAAATAACAAAACTCAAAATACTCGAAGTGGAAGACGAGCCTCCTATGCGTGTGTGCGTGCGTGTGTGTGTGTGTGTGTGTGTGTGGTCCTGGGGACTGGGGAATTGATCCCAGGCCTTTATATTGAGCTGCATTCCCAGCCCTTTATTTTATTTTCTGTTTTGAGACAGGGTCTCTCTAAGTCACTGAGTTGCCCGGGCTGGGCTAGAACTTGCCATCCTCCTGTTTCAGTCTCCCAGTGGTACCACACCCAGCTAGGGCCCCTTGTGTTAGTACACAAGTCAGCCAGGAATGCTGCTCTGGAGCCAGGCAGCGTGTCAGTGGGGACTCTGGGCCTGTGGGTCTTCTCCCAGCTGCCTCCACACGGCGCGGTGAAGGCTGAGTCATTCCACACAGCACCGTGTATCCCTGCCTGTCACTCGGCTTACGGGCACTGTGGCCACTGCAGACATGGTTGCTAGGTGCTGTCACCCCCCTGGGCCACTGCTGTGTACAGTATTTGCGCCACAAATCTAAGCAGATTCCACCCCAACAATCTGCGTGCTGAAATCTATTGTCATTAAACAGCTACTTTTTTTTTTATACAGCTACTTTTTAATGCTAATTTTTTTTAAAGGCTGCAGTATTTTTCATATTTCACTTAGTCAATTATAGGTTCTATCCTGATGGCTTAAATCTCGTATCCAGCAAAAAATAGAAATAAGTGAGATACTGACTTGTTGTTTCTTGCTGCAATTTTCCAGGACTCAGAAGGAGTAGAAATCATGTTAGGAGTCTGTGCGAGTGGTCTGTTGATATATCGTGACCGACTGCGAATAAACAGATTTGCCTGGCCCAAGGTTCTGAAAATCTCATACAAAAGGAACAACTTTTACATTAAGATTCGGCCGGGAGAGGTAAGTACACTGCATTTGCATGTGCATTGGGAAGAAAGGTCCCTAACAGGGAACAGAAATTTGAATTCTCTGCTCATAAGTTCTGAGCATTGTGAGACATGGTGAATTATATCTAAATGCCTGGGAGAATTTGTTGTAGGTTTGTCCAATAAACAGTAATAAACAACATGTTCTCTTCTTTATTATGTTGTTCTAGTTTTTTCCCAACTGTATGCATTAATTGAAAGGATTTTTAAAAAACATATTTCAGTATAAAAATCAAGATTCATGAATAATTTTTTTGTATTTTTCAAGCCATGGAGAATAAATTTCTTCCCTTGTGTCCTGTTTTTAATAGCTCCATTCTCTTTTTACTTTTTCCTGCAAATCTGTCTGTTCCCTAAAGTGACTAGCTGAGAGGTATTGTGCTTCAGGGTGCAAGAAGGATTAGAACAAAAGAAGCTGGGAGTGAATTATGTAAATAGTCCACGGCCCAGTATATTTCCATATATTCCTACCTTTTTTTTTTTAGTTTACTTATTTATTTATTTATTTATTTTTTTTGGTACCGGGGATCGATCTCCGGTCCTTGCGCTTGCGCAGCAGGCGGCGAAACCACTGAGCTAAATCCCCGGCCCTATTCCTACATTTTTAATCAGAAACTAATAACAAATCAGAATTGTTAACTAAACACCCTCTATAATCAGCTTAGACATATCTTCCTTAGTTGTTTTCTACATAACCGGTAACCTGCTTTCATTTGTTTAAGAAATACCTAATAAATGCCCCCAATTTCTCATTGGTATGGTAATCTACTGGAGACAGGCAAACTCACAGATTCTCATTTATGACTCTGAACCTTGTCTGGTGTGATACAGGTATCTCCTGTCTTCAAAATCTACCACTCCCGTGGAGTTTCTTGGTGGAAATGCAGTTTCAAAAACCAGATAAATCAAATAACAATGATGACTGCAAATTTAAAGTCATAGTCATCGTTGACAACTGAAATAATCTATAAGCTTTCCATGTAAATTAACTGGAATTATGTTTTTTAAATATTTTAAATATTGTATCTATTCTAAATATCTAATCTCTTCCAAATATTGTATGCCACACTTGTAACGCACACACACATATGAATTCATTGAACATTTATTAAGTGAGCACTTAGTGTCGAGCCATCATGATAAGCATTGGAAATATGACCTTGTTCCTCTTCTTAAGATTTTGGTATGAGAGAAACAGAACCATGATGCCAATGAGATGAGATTCCGCAAACACAGAATGAGGATGGTGTCAGTGGCCACAGAGGAAGACTGGAGAAGAGAGCCAGGATGTGAAATTCAACTTCCTAGTAGTACAGATGGACCCAGATCAGGGCAGAGGGTGTGGGAATAGAACAGAGGGAACAACGTGATAGAGCGGCTTCAGGGAGAACCAGGAGGTCAGGGACTCTGCATGCAGTGAGACCCGGGGCAGAACCGGGGGTGTTCTCACGGGGAGAGCCCTTCCCTGGCACAAGGCCCGGTACCTCAAAAGAGGCAGAGAGGAACCAGGAAATCATTGGAAAGTTGACTGATGGAGATGGTTTTAGGCAAGAGAAAAAAGGAGGTGAATTTCAGAAAAAAAAAAAAGATTGCAGTCAGGCGTGGTGGAGCATGGACACCTATACTCCTAGCACTCAGAGACCAAAGCGGAGGACGGAAAGTTTGAGTCCTGTCTGGGCAACTTCACAACTCAAGGAGATCCTCACTCAAAAAATTTTTTTAAATGTTTGATATATTTTACTCAAGGCCTTAGACATTATCCAAAGAGCAAGGGAAGTTCAAGAAGAGGTCCTAAGATAAAAATTCTGTGTAATACCGTTATTTAAGAGAGGGGCAGGCAGAAGAGAAACAGAAGGAGATGAAGAAAAGCATCTAGAGGAACAACAGGTTCTCTGCCTCACAGGTTCTTTTGGCTGCTGATTGTTATCGGTAGTGGGTGTTTTCCTGCGCTTTGGGTCGAGCCTTTACTGTTTAGGGTGACTGCCCCCTGGTGGCCGCTTGAATACTGTCTTCAGAAACTGAAAACTAAAACTACATCAGCAGTGATAGTACTAAGACGTTGGCAGAAAAATCAGATAGGATATTTCAACTTGAACAATCAAATACCTGACATTATCATCTGAAAATACACATGCTGCAAAGTATGAAAATATATTCTCCCAGTCGCTGATCTTAAAGAGATGTGAGCCCTTATCATTGTAACCCACAGCGAAACATACAAATGATATCAGCCATATTGGACACTGAGACATCAAATACCTAGGACGGTAAACACATATATCTTGGGCAGATACTAAGAAAATTGTCATTTCTAAGTGTGCTTTAGACTTACAAACATTTTGCTCATTTCTGTGCATTCCAGTTGAGGTCATTATGTCACTGAGAAACCATGAAAATAAGACTTAAAGATCAGATCAGCACAAACTGATTTCTGAAAGGAATCCAATACTTTCTTTTTGGTGTTTAGTTTTCCTAAGATTCATCCTTGTGCATAAAGCATTTGATACATGCCTGACATTTATCTCTACTTACAGCATTTGAAAGAGATAGATGTAAGTTTTTTGAATGGATAAATGTATATAACATGAAGTCTGCATATGACAATTTAGTGAGGAAAGAAAAATTTGTGAGTGGCATTATGATTTTGGAAATAATTCACAGAGCTTCTGTTATTTGTAATTCTAAACTTGACTTTACTCTTCGATCTGTTTCTTAAATTGTAGTTTGAACAATTTGAAAGCACCATTGGGTTTAAGCTGCCAAACCATCGAGCTGCTAAGCGTTTATGGAAAGTGTGTGTGGAGCACCATACGTTTTTCAGGTAGGTAGATACCATTGTTTCCTCATAAGGTAGGATTGGAAGGATTGGAATCACTAATGCTGAAAAGATAGATCGTTGGGGGAAGAATATAGGAACATATTCTTTCTATTCCCTCAAGTTCATGGCACCAGATTGCTTGATAAGAAATCCTAAAAGAACTCCTGATTAAACTTGAAGAATTTCCTTTGTCTTAGCTTCCCTACTATCTTTATTTCTCCTTTTTTTTTTTTTTTCCTGGTACCGGAGATCAAACTCGGGACCTTGTGCTTCTGAGGCAGGTGGCAGAACCACTGACGTAAATCCCCAGCCCTCCTTCCTTTCTTTCTTTATTACCCTCATAGCATTGTCTTCAGGTACATAGTCCCCTCCTTACTATTCCAGTCATTCCTCCGTATCCTGGACTCTTACCCATATATGGTGCTAGGGTGATCGTCTGGGGCCTATATAACAACAAATCATCAGTCTTCTTCCATAATACTTACATAGGTGCTCTTAGGGCTTATAGAACCCTGAACTCTACTTGCATGAATGTTAAAGTTCCCTTAGTCCCAGTTCCCAGTTTCATTTACATCCACCCCTCCACAATATCCCTAATTAGTATATACTTTGCAAATTAATACTTTTTTCTCATAAAATCAGGTTCATTTAACTACAAGTTGCATATCAAACTTTTAGCATCCAAAACACAGTAAAAAGTTAAAAAGCAGCCTGGATATTTGCCATAATCTTCCTGGTGCCTTTCTTTTAATATCTTTAGACTACTACTACCGGAAGCACCTCCAAAGAAATTCCTCACCTTGGGTTCCAAGTTCCGGTACAGCGGCCGGACACAAGCGCAGACGAGGAGAGCCAGTGCGCTGATAGACCGCCCTGCGCCTTACTTCGAACGCTCCTCCAGCAAGCGCTACACCATGTCACGCAGCTTGGATGGAGGTGGGTGTCGCTGGTGGGCTCGGCGCGTTCAGTAGACACAGATCAGCGTGGATGTTGGGAATGGAAAGCAGCTGTGGATCTTGGGTGGGTGGCAGATTTTTAAAGTCCCCAACTCTAAAACAGTGCCCTTGTCAGTCTCCTGCCTGGTGCTGGTAGATCTGTGTAAGAACGACATCAGAGAAGCATGTGGGGACGACGTGCATAGCTTTCAGAACCTTATGCAGGAATTTGGAGAAGACATGCTCAGGCTAAGTATAGTAGTCAGGTCCCTATAAGCAATTCTCACCCACAGATCTTAAATGATTAGCAGGTTTCTCTCAGCCTATTTGTTTCAGAAAGAAAACGGTAAGTTGAATTTATCTCTGTTCCCAAGATGGAGGAGTAAAATGAGGCTGTTACCAAGTCACTTGCTGGCAGGCACTGCAGGGCACTTCCGGGCCAAGGCCTGCTCACAGAAGTGACTTGAGGACCAAGGCCCTGCAGGGCCAGCGTCTTCTCTTCTCATCCAGAGCAGCTAGAGGTTGGCATTTTGCTGAAGATGCATCTTGTTTTTATTGAAGATGCATCCTGTGCAGACAAAGAGAGTCAGGAGTTTCTGGTTTGCATGTGTGATTTCGATAAGCAAAACAAACAAAACTCAGTAGAAGTTACAAGTGCCTGGGGCCGTCTCCCTCGCTCCAGTTTGTAGCTGTTCCTTATAGAGCCTCAGTCCCTGACCGACCCCACCCCAGGCCAGCTGATGGGATGAGTGACCCCGTGAATCCTCTGATTAAAAAGCCTGTATTTTCCAATCAGATACTATATAAACTGCTTATAGAAGGAACCGTAATAGTGTTATCAGTGCTATATTGTGTGTGTTACTCCTGGAATGGGAACAGCACTTGGCTAGCAGTGACAGTACAGAGTGTGGACACTGCATTCTCCAGCTGGGCCACAGTTGGATTTCAGGCCTCTAGGCCTCAGTTCAGTCATCTGTAAAATGGGAGGAAGGCCGCCCTTGACAGAGTAAATAAAGGGTAAATAAGGTATATGTGAAAGCAATCGAAGATTGATAGATGTGATCGTAAATATCCCAGAAGTTACACTGATAATTGTTTTCATAAGCTTCTATTGCTGGCCTAAAAAGTTCATTGTAATTAGCCTTCTGTAGCCATAGGCTCCAAATTTGCTAATTTAACCAATTTCAGACGGAAAGTACTCTTTTTAAAAAATTACACCCATACCGAACATGTACAGTCTTTTCCTTGTCGTTATTACCTAAGCCATAGAGTATGATGGGAATTTACACAGCATTTACGCTGTGTAGTAGGTGTCATAAATAATGTAGAAATGATTTCAAGTAAATGGGAGAGCCAGGTATTGTGGGGCCCGCCTCTTGTCCCAGCACTCTGAGAGGCTGAGGCAGGAGGATTGGGAATTCAAGGCCAGCCTAGGCAGCTTAGCAACTTGGTGAGGCTCTGTCTCAGAATTTTTAAATATATATATATTTAAAAAGAAGAAAGGGAAGAAGGAGGAGGAAGAGGGGGAAGAAAGAGGAGGAGGAAGGAGAAGACTCGGTGCGAAGGCCTTGGGTTCAATCCCATAAATAAAAATAAAGCTTCTGTACATAGGGGAGGGGGATGGGGGGGATGGGATAAAATAAAATAAAATCTATTTTAAAAATCAATAAACGAACAAGCAAATAAGGTACATATGAGTAATCAGCAAATGCTACACCATTTTATGTAAGGGACACGGCGATCTTTGCATTTTGGTACCCACGGAAGTCCTAGAAACAGTGCCTTGTGCACACCAAGGGACTACAGTGGCATTCTGGGTCTTCTAATGTAAGACCGAGGGCCTTACCAAACTCTCCGAGGAGCTGACTAGTGAAGCACACCCAGAAATCCCAGCGGTGCCTTCAGAATGTAAGACCAAGAGCCTTACCAAACGCTCCAAGGAGCTGACTACAGCGAAGAACACCCGGGAAGGAACACACCGGACAAGTTGGAAAACAGACCTTTATTAGTCTGGCCAGATGGCACTCCCAAAGCAAAATAGCTTAGAAAGGCAGCTGGCTCAGAGTCCGAGGCTGTTCTTATAGGGGGTTGAGGGGGAAGTTAACATATAGAACTAAAGAAAAGGGACAAAGGTTAGTGGTCGACTGTCACGTATTGATGGTCAGCAGACATTTGCAGCTTGTTCTATAGATTGTGGTGTCCAGAACATCAGTTCCGGGCAAACAAGGAGTTGAGTAGTTTACTTTGGGACTTTAGGTCTGTTACAGATTTTTATCTAGTGTCCCAAAACTAACAAGCATCTTTATCCATTAACTCACATTTAATCACAATGGGGCTGGAGAAAAGGAACAAAGGTTGTGCAGTCCCACACTAAGATGCCCAGAGTGCCAAATTTAGAGCCAGCTCTTTGAAATAGAATATTCATCAGGACTGTTTCGGGTAGAATTCAGATTCTGAACTGCCACAGTTAAGGGTTTTCTGTCTGTCGTGTCCCATTTGCACGTCTGAACCTCTGTTACCTCCGTTCCGAGTCAGTGTTTGAGGAACTGTGGTAGTCACACCTCGTTGTCCCTGGTGCCGTCCACCCTGTCGCTGGTGTGCACCCCAAGGCACACACTGCCTGTGAAGGATGGTTTCCTCCTGACCTTTTGTGTGTGAATCCCTGCTGAGAAGACAGAAGAGTTGTGAAGTCAGTGCACTGATTCCGTGCCTCTCTTCCTCCTGCCCGGCCTGAGGTTATAGTACGCGCTGCCCCATGCTTCGCTGTGCTGCCAGACCCACGTGCCTGCCGCTGCGCTGCGTGCCTGGTCGCATGTTGGAACATAGCCTGCTTTTTGCGAAGTGGCGTCTTACAGAAGCAGCCAAACTGGTCCCTTGGGCTTTTCCCTCATTATAAAGAGATATGAATACTGAAAAAAAAAAAGATATGAAAAATCTTAGTGAAGATATTATAGTAAAGTAATTTAACTATTAAAAAGATTTCAGGAAGGAATTTATTTCCAAATCCTTCCTTTTATCTCTCTTTTTAAAATTCCTAAAATATGAATGCAGATCATGTTTGGTCTGCAATTAGCTACTGTGTATTCGTAAAACAGTGTTTATACATTTTAATAATTTTTCTGATATCCAAAACCTAAAATAATGAGTACCAGATTTTAAAATTTAACTGAATTAAGTATGTCTTTTACTAAGACATTTTAGCTGGCATGGAAGGCTGTACCTTATATCTCTGATGTTTGCATGTTGTGCATTTGCATGAATCTCATTTATCAGCATCTGTCTTGTTTTCCCAAAATACTAACCAAGTGAACAAACCTATATGCATCTCATCATGGCAGTCCATTTAAAACGCAGTAGATATTAAAACATTTCTTGTATTTCGGTTAAATGGAATTGCCATCTGAGCACTGGCAGCCTCTACCAGTGTGGTTCATTTTCATTATTAGCCTTAGGGCTTCCACGTTGTAGGAGCGGTTGACTTTTTAACATTCCAAAAAATAATAACGAAACTACCTGTAATTCAGTGCTCCTCTGTCAGTGGCACTTCCAAAGATCTGTTCAAAGGCAAGTGTGTCGGAGCAACTGTCTACTGCAAGTGCTGCGTGTCCGGCACTGGCCAGGAAGCGGTGCTGGTGCTCAGCTGGCTCCTCCGAGGGCTCAGCCCAGGGTCTGCCCTGCTACAGCCTCACGCACACACTCGCCACAGAGCCTGGGAATGGCCAGCATTGTCCTGGGCTTCAAGACCCACCCGAGCATTTAAGTAGTTTCAAAACAGTTGTAGATGAAATGGAAAGAAGCCCATGGTGGGGCTTGGATGGAGATACCTGCTGATTGATGGGTCTTTTTGAGAGCAATCCTTTATTTTGCAAAGGAATTTCTTTTAACCCAGTGATGGGACACTGATGTTGCTCATCTGTCTTCTGACTTAACTATTTCAGATTGTATTTCTCTGGTTGTATTTGCTTTTAGCATCAGTGAATGAAAACCATGAAATGTACATGAAGGATTCTGTGTCTGCTGCAGAGGTTGGTACTGGCCAGTACGCCACGACAAAGGGCATCTCTCAGACCAACCTGATCACCACTGTGACTCCGGAGAAAAAGGCGGAGGAGGAGCGTGACGAGGAGGAGGACAGAGGGAGGAAGGCCGAGGAGGCCACGCCTGTGTCTGCGATCCGGCACGAGGGAAAGGTACAGCTCCCAGGCTGCCACCCAGCAGCCCCCTCCCGCTGGTCAGACTGGCGGCACGGTAACTCTGAGGCTGGGACCAGGACCCTGCTGAGATGCAGGGAGATCCTGCCTCAGCACCAGTACATCCACGTGGCAATTTTTCAATTGCTATTGCTGCTTCAGCATTCTCACCCCGAAAGTTACTTTCTTAACTGTTGAAAACTTTTTATCTTTATAAGGGATGTGCTATCTAAGACTTTCAACAGCCGTCCTGTATGTGTCTCTTTAAAATACTTTGGGTGGTGTAATCCGTGCCTTTGCTTGGGTTTGCAGTGCAGAACTTTGCCAAAGCTATTTTCTTTGTTTCTGGCCCCAGTCTCCTACCCGAGTGTAATATATTTTTCTGGACATATGGTGATCACACACCATTCTTCTAATATGAGTACACTGAGTGCCCATGGCCCGGGTATTTGTGGTCACCCTTCCTTAGTTTTCTAATCTAACCAGCAGAGGAGTGAGTGGCCGTGTTTTGAAAGGGGTTGTTCAGGCACAAGGTCGCAACGGAAGACAAAAAGTAGCTTTGGTAGAAATTTCTCCAGGTGTTTTCTTCATTTCATTTTGTGACACTGTTTCCCACAAAACTAAATTTCTTCTTAAAATTATTTTGAAACATCAGCTTTATTTCTGATAAACCAGCTTTTTAGAAAAACAGTTTAAAAGTTGACATATTTAGGAGGTTTATACATGATAATAATTGGAAACCAGAGTGATCCAGAGCCCGCAGGGTACTGAGAGACAGGAAACACAGCAACAATGCTCATGTAAACTACGGGTTACTCCGAAATGATCGACAGTTGGGCTCTTGAAATACATATGTATGTGATAGAGAATCACCACTCAGGATTCCATAGGAAAATATTTATTCCCCTAAGAATTTAACATTGACATCTCAACAGGATAGTTAAGAAATAATTTTTGTAGTTGTATTACACTATTCCAAATGACTCAATTCATTATCTTTTTAATTTTGCTTTTTTTTTAAAAGATCCTTTACCTGCCAAACACAAGAATAAAGCACAGGGTATGACATGGTGGCAGGGTTATGTGGGTCACTTGCTGTTAAAATGTGCTTTGTTCTAAATTTCACAGCTCCACTCTTCCTGTCAGTTCAGTCCAGAGCAGGTTTTAACTGGGCCGTGAAAAGATGACAATGCACCTGAAATGCAAATGTTTCTTATGCTTAATTATTACAGAATTTTGTGGCATTGCCCATACCAACAGATGATTCTCATGGGTGTGTAAATATAATTACGTGACACGCAAAAGTAAGTGATTTTTTTAGTTCACTCCCAAAATAGGTCCAGGCAGTCTCTATTTGATTTTGAAAGACTGCTGTGTCGCCTTGACATGTAACACTCGCACACCCTCGCTTTGTGTCCTTTATGCCATGAGAAAAGAAAAAGACAGAGAGCACGGCCACTCTCGGCATCTGAGTTTGAGAAGCCAGTACTTTGAAGGCTGTAGGCAGGATCTAGTGCTTAATAGGTGCCCGCTATCTTTATTAGCCCCAGCGCCAAGCTGTCTTAAAAATCACTTTAATAAATAGCATAGAAGTTTCAACTTCAGTTCTATTCTTTTCCATCTTCAAAAAGTAACAAGAGGATACTTGCCCTTTTTTTACCAAAATTAAAATGTATTACTGAAAATAGTTGTAAAGAGAGTAGCCCCAGCCTTCCCAGGGAGGAGACCTCTTCCCGCTGATGACGCCCCAATTCCGGGCAGCCGAGGACAGTGGTCCTCACAGGGTGGCTCGTTACAGGCCCAGAGACCTGGGCAGGTTCTCTGTAAGATGCAAAGATGAGTGTATGGGACGGAGACGCTTCCAGTGCTAATACAGCCAAGACCTACTCTTATTTGTGCATTTCCTTTCCCTCATGCCTCAGATGTAATTTTATTTGTGCATTTTCTTTCCCTCTGTTGCTGTATTTACCACAGCTCTCCAAGTCAGGATTGGATAACCATCTCCAAGCAGCTTGGGCAGTTTGCATGCTGTCAGGTCACTAGGTAACACATACACACACAGAGGCACCCAGTCAAACACGGGCACAGGCAGCAGCCGAAGTCTAATTGTCCTGAGGTTGTGTGCACCCTGGCCTTGAACGCGCCAGGCCTTGGCAGCTCTGTGCTCTGCCCAGGTCCTGCTTGTTTTCTTACCCTTGGGGCCAGCAGCCCTTCACCACTGCTCCGAAAGTGGAGACCAGCAGGGCCCCGAGAACAGAGCTAGATTCAACCCGAGTTCACTGGGGCGCTGCTGTACACGGGCCATGCTGTCAGCGTGCCCTTCATCTGCTAAGAGAGATCGAGGGCTGGAAAACTGTCTCTTCCTATTATTTGTCTAGTACAAATAGTGGAAACTAAACACATGGAACCAAGCAAAAAGGACAAGAAAACACAGCCCTTTTGCTAGTTAGCTGGGTGAAACCACTTATTTTGGTTGATGGCCCTCTTACAACTTAGATAAAGGACCCAAAAGAGAAGTTTGAAAAGAAGCTCCAGTTCTCTGTGGGGAGTCAGAGCTCCTGAAGTGCTAGGTGCTGCATCTCTCAGTTGTGCCTGTGTTTCAGATAGGAGAGGGGCCAGAAACGTGCTGATTTGAAAACCCACCTTTTATGGATATGACTACAAAGGAAAAGAACAATGCTAGAATTTTGTTTTAAAAAATTAATCAATATTTGAATTGTATTTCATTTTCATTTTTAATCTAGCTGAAGTATTATAACAGATCTGTTACCTAGAGATCAGGAAAGGTTATTGAAAGTCTTGATTTTGATATATTAGTTTCATTTGCTCTCAAAACCCTAAAGCTTTCTAGTGTTGTGGGTCTCAAATGAAAATTTTTGATCGTGGGAAGCATGTAGACATTGGGATTGCCCGTGAATCCCTTCTGTCCTGACTTTAAAAGTCTTGCCCTGTGTGAGACGCTCCCATCCAGGGAAGACTGTGGCCCCCCTCGGGACCTGGCATGCAGCTCAACTCCTTTAAAATTCACGAGCCACCCTAGTGCTGAACTTCTTGTTTTATAATTTTATATCGGTACCCATAAGAAAATTAACTAATCGCAGTTTTCTTTTTGTCCTTTTGCACCTCTGTTTGCTGCTTCCTGTCTCTGTCTCTCTCACTTCAGTCACCCAGGCTTGGCACTGATTCATGTCCCTTGTCACCTCCATCCGCCCCTCCCGACCCCGCATCCCCCCCAGAGCTCCGTAGGAGGTGTAAGGAGAATGAACACAAAGCACCGGGCTTCGAGGTGCCCCGAGCGGAGCCCGCGCCGGAAGAGCCCACGGTGGAGGCGTGCCCCGGGGACCGAGACGCGGCCTTCCGCTGCAGGCGGCCCGCCAGCAAGGGCGCCACCCTGTTCTCCTTCTCCTTGCAGCTCCCCGAGTGCTTCCCATCGCTGCTCGATGACGACGGGTACCTCTCTTTCCCCAGCCTGTCCGAGACCAGCCTCCTGCCTCAGAGCCTGCAGCATTACCTCCCGATCCGCTCGCCCTCCCTCGTGCCCTGCTTCCTCTTCATCTTCTTCTTCCTGCTCTCCGCCTCCTTCTCAGTGCCATCCGCCCTCACGCTCTCCTTCCCTCTGGCTCTGAGCCTCTGCTACCTGGAGCCCAAGGCGGCCTCCTTGAGCGCCTCCCTAGACAGTGACCCGAGTGACAGTTCAGAGGAAGAGGTGTGTACCTCGGCCTGGGACACCCCGAGTGTTCCGTGCTGCAGTCCGAGCAGTGATACCCGGCTGCTGCCGTAGTCGTCCTATTCCAGAGCCTCATCTGCTGTCCGTGCCCACATGCCGAGGTCGGGTGTGCGGGGAGTCTGACCCGGGCCGGGGTTAGGCACAACACCATGTGGACGTCCCATGGAGGCCGACCCATCCTGCACCCCACTGAGTTCCCCAAAGTCAATTTCAAGTGACCTAACCGTCAGCTCTGGGGAAGGTCAGGGTGAGGCTGGGTTCTGCTCAGCTGTCACCTAACACAGTGAGTCAGCTCCAAGGCCTATGCAGAGCTTCCGACAAGGGTGGGCACAGGACCAAGAGGAGCTGTAGGGAGCGCAGCGTGCCCACAGCTCCTCTCAGCTCTCTGCTTCCCCTGCACGCCATGGCCTGTGACCAGCGCTGCAGCTGCCCTTTCTGGACTGGAGCAGAGTATGGGGAAAGCCAGGAGGCTGCCCGGGAGGTGCCGCCCGCCACGTTCTGTCCCCCTCTGCACCTTCCCCAGGCCCCCAGCTCTCTTGCTCCCATGGAACAAGGGCTTCGGAGGCAGGGGACCAGCCAGATACGCTAGCATTTAAAATATCCCAAAGTCAAAGCAATGCTAAAAAAAGAAAGTCTACTCACTCCCCTGCTCAGCTCGAAAGTCGTAATTTGAGCTGCACTTGTGACTGTAGAACTGCGAAGGTGTTTAGGTGCCTACAGCTAGTGGTACTGTGACCATTTCTATGCAGCAAAAGAGGGAAAGGGTGACAGTCCCATATACGTTCTCAATGAAAGTCTAGGCCAGTGATGGCGAACCTTGTAGAGACGAGTGGCCAGACTGCAACCCAAAACCCACCTGCTTATCACAGAGTGCCGGCACTGCCCCCACGTGCGCTGTTACCCAGTGCTCAGCTGCTGGGGCAACTTAGCTTGCGTGCCACTGCGACACCCGTGCCATAGGTTCGCCACCACTGCTCTAGGCTTTTCCGCTGTACTGCAGTGCTGTTTAAGAACCTTTTCAGAGTTCCAGGATTGTATGTGACTGTTAACTCCAACAGATTCACACCTGCACATAAAGATGCTTTTCACACCTAGACAGTATTTTCCCAACTATTTTCAATCTTAGACCTGAGTGCCAGTGTTTCTCTCAATTGCAGGGTTACCAAAGAGTGCAGGACTGGCACATGCTACAGCTAAGCACCAGGGTCCTCCACACGGGCTGCTTAGAATACCTAGCAGACTTCCAGCCTGCAGCTACATTTTTCCTGTAGGAGTGGAGTTAGCCCTCAAGCTAACATAAAGCCAGACGTAAGAGGGCTTTTCTAAATTCTGAACAACTGTTTGAACTTTCCTGCAGCCCGCCACACAGATCTTGTGCCTAATCCAGGGTGCACATCTCCTTGCCCCGTGCATGAGTTAATGTTACACTTGGGCATGTCTGCATCACATCAGCAAAACAAATCACAGCAGTTCCTGGTTGAAGGCTGGTGGAGGCGGATGGGAGTTCTGGTCCCGACTGTCCCTGTCTCCGTGCACGGGACACCAGGCCCCGATGCTGACTGCTGTGGCCTCATTCAGTTATCCCAGCTCTCTGACAGCACACTCTGTACCGGCCGTCTGCTCAGTGCTGGCTCCTTACCCCAGGGGTTAAGAGCTGCTCATTCTAATTCAGCCTCGGCTAAAGAACTTGTATTTAGGTCATGCTGTGTTTTTTTTTAAATTGCCATCAGCTTACATGGCTGGGTTTATTCTCTAGGCCTCCAGCATTTTGGCAGCTAAACTGGGCGACTTTTTAATAGACAGTTTGTCTCTGTCACTCTTATTTTGCAAAATCATTAATGATGGTAATTCTCTTCATATTTTTTTACATGTTCTAATGGCTTAATCAACCCCCTGGCCTTTCTTAAGAGTGAAACCCTGGTATAGAAAGATTTAGTCACTTTAGACAGTAAAGTGGCTGGCCAATCTTTTTGTTTTCTTTTATGCTTTCAGAATAGCCAAATAAGAAGGGACAGAACATGAAATCATCTATAAGGAAACATAAAATAAAGTTAGTTCACCATAACACAGAATGTGGATTTCTGTAATTTTTTGATAATACAAGAAAAAGGAGATGATTTCAATCTGGAAGAAAAAAAATAACTGACTTAAAACATTTTCAGCTATATAAACATAGTATTATGTGATAGCTCGTGACATGCTGTTGCTTTGCGGTTTGAATAGTCATAGTACGTTATATAAATAACAGTTGCTATAAAAGCTGCTTTATTCAGTGTTTGTTGCTTCACTTACTGACTATTCACCAGGCATTGCACTTGCTGACTGACTGGATGCTAAGCAGGAAATTCAGGCAGCCTAGAGATGATGATTTTTTTTTTTTTTTTTGGTACCAGGGATCGAACTTGGGTCCTTGCGCTTGCACAGCAGGCAGCGAAACCACTGAGCTAAATTCCCAGCCCGAGATGATGATTTTTTGAGATAGGGTCTTTGTTCGTTGCCCAGGCTGGCCTTGAACTCATGATCCCCCTGCCTCAGCCTCCCCAGTAGCTTGGATTTCAGGTTCATGGCACCACATGGCAGCTTTAGAGGGAGTTTGGATGTGGCCGAAGATGTTTGTGTATTATTAGGAAAATTACTACACGTGATTATGTGAAAATATGTCAATATGAATGGATTATGATTATTATAAGCAATTTTTGGCTTTGTATATGTCAGGCTTTCTATAAAATATTTAGTATCCATTTCCCAGAATAGTTAAAGCTGTTACAATCCCCACCTTTCAAAAAGGAAACTAAGACTATAATACAAAATATACCCAATGCATCACAGGTTTGAGTAGCAAGCACGTGTCAGTCTGACCTCAGGCCCTTGCCTCTTATCTACAGCTGAGCTCTATGCTAAGATACTGGACAGCTACTGAAGCAAATTTTAAAACCCTAAGGAAGATAATCTACGTAGGAGGAGCACTAACCCTCAGGAACCTTAGGTGTCTTTGGTAGAACCGCTCAGAACCCTAAGTAGGATCGAGAGTCTTGCGGAAAGCCAGGGCCCTGAGTTCCCCTCTACCCGTGAGCAGCAGCGGCCTCTCCCCCGACTCGGGCGGTGCCAGGCAGTGAAGCTGTGGCACAGCAGTGGTTGCCACATGGGAAAATTGATCGCCACTCCCTGCCCCAGTCGACCACTGAGGTGGTCAGGCCGCAGACCCACCCAGGCCGCATTGCCTTAGGAATCCGCTGAAAATCACCTGCTGCTGCAGCTGGGTCTCTGGGTGACCAGAATGCCGACCTCCCCTGGAATGCCCGTTCCAAGCCCGATTCCGACTCCTCCTTTAGGAATCCAAAATAAAAGCTTGCAGTCAGTCCAAGAAGTCCTGAGTGAGACACATGATTTATTCTGGACAGGGACACATGATTTTAACAGCCAAATAAACGGCTGTACAGCCTTCAGTTCTGGTTTTTGTTTTCAAAATATTAAATCACAGAGTTGAGTGTGGTGGCACATGCCTGTAATCCTACCACTGTGGGAGGATGGAGCAGGAAGATGCACGTTTGAGCCCAACGCAGGCAATTTAGTGACTTAGTGAGATCCTGTCTCAAACTTTTAAAAAATTAAAAAGGGCTTGGGGCAAAGCTTAGTGCTAAGACCATGGGTTCAATCCCTAGTACTAAAAAAAAGCAGAGATATATATCACAAATTATATATATTATATATACTAATACTAATAGTTAGTTGATATTTGTAGAGAGAAAGTCAGCTAATATTTAAGGCATTTATATTTGAATGTCAGTGTGTGTAGTTTTACTCAAGGAAATAGGTTTTTTTATTATGAACCCCTTTGAAACAGATTTTTTTTAAATCATGAAATTGCTATTCCAATTCTCCCCTGAAAATCTAGGCTCTGTCAAATGCTGTGCTTTGTTTTATTTGTTTCTAAGTAGATGTGTTTTTCTCTCTCTCTCTGTCTCTTTCCTTTATTATCATTATTATTTGCACCATTTGGTATTTTTGCAACACAGTGTTTGAATACACGCTTTGATAAACCTCCTCGTATTGGAAAGTGGGGCAAAATAAACAGCCTTCAGTCTTCAGAGCCTCCTGTTGCCCCGCTACAGGAAAACTGAGCTGGCGCTTTGCACATGTAAAGCCTGCCTGTGAGTCACTGACAGCAGTGCAGACGGCCCGCTGGTCCTAAGTGGATGCAAATTACCCCATGGTATAAATGAGGGGCTGAGAGTCCAGTGACCGTTAGAGTAGCTTTTCGTGGAAATTTACATTTTCTTTGACCTTTCAAATGTGTCTAGAATTAAAAACATGGGCCAACCTCAGTCTGTTCCGTGAGGCTTTGCTAGATGAGCTCTCCCCAGTGTCAGTGGGGAGGCTGGGAGGGGAACTACCGAGTGGTGTCCAGGCAGTCGCCCCCTGTGCCCCGCGGGTCCTCCTGGGAGGGGCTCCGTGGTGACACCAGCCTGGCTCTTCCCCTGCCTGGCCGGAGCCTGCGACCCTGTAGGGAGGTCTTGTGCGGCAGCTCCCGGAAACAGAATGAGCGTCCTCTTGTGTGTTCCCTGACTGACCAGATGGGTTTGCTTTCTGTCCCTGCCTTCCTCCTGGAACCTAATCACTTCTGCGGTCAACAGACAGACAGCGAGCGCACAGACACCGCGGCTGACGGGGAGACCACTGCCACTGAGGTGGGTGAGGCTGAGCCAGCTCCTAGGGGTCTAGGCACAGTGCCCCGTGGGCAGCCTGTGTCCAAGTGACACACACAAGCTCCTGCAGCGGAGCCGCCCTGAACTTCACAGCAGGCCTTAGGTGTGCTTGCATGGCCTGGACCCTCAGCCCCGGAGCACTGGCCACGTCAGACTCCCTGGAAGGGCCCGGCCTGCGTGTCTCACTCACAAGGGCTGAACACAGGCTGAGGTCTGGCTCTCTGGTGACCCTGACTCTTAGCCTGGAGGGTCACGTTTTTGAGGAGCACCTGCACAAACAGGATGCTGTTTAGAAAAAGATCTTGCCATTCAAGGACAGGCTGTTTGTGTACAAAACCTTGATGCATGGAGAGAGGGGGCGGGCATTGCTTTAGTCAGCTTATTGGCTGGACACAAGTTCGTTGTATGTGGTCAGATAACACCTACCAAAATAATACCTCTCAGCTCATTTCGATAGCCCTTAGCGATTGCGTAAGTCACTCATGAATGAATTCTCCAAGGAAAAGAAAATTCGCACACTGCTATTAGTAGTTTACTGAATAAGTACAAGCACATTGAACAAGAGATACTGTGCTGGTATCTCTCATTTATTCTTTAAGACACGTTAAATGTGTGTGTCCTACGTCATTTAAAAAATCTGCCCTACCAGTATTTAATTAAAATTGCTGTAAAAATGGATATTTGTGTATAGTGATAGAAATCAAGATGTTTATTTTCCACTGTGCTAGCCAAATTTAGTTTTTAATTTGTGATAAACTCTAGGTTGTGTGCTATTTTTTTTATATCATCTAATCATAAGTGTATTTTCTAATTGGGTATTTAGGAACAACTAAAATTCTGTAAGTGGTATCTGTGTATCACTTCATTGAAAATGTCTTCAGAAAAAAATACTGCATAGTGGTATTTCATTAAGGTTTTTCCTTAGGAAATGCCAGAGTTAAAATAACAGATTTTTTAAAAGTGAAAGATAAGGGCCGGGGATTTAGCTCAGTGGTTTCGCCGCCTGCTGCACAAGCGCAAGGGACCCGAGTTCCATCCCCGGTAGCAAAAAAAAAAAAAATAGTAAAAGATAATATTGTAAAACCATTGTTCAGATTCTTTTAAGCAATCACAAATGAATCCGTTACAAGTTCATAACCTTCTAAGCCAAACTACACCTTGATTTTGTTAAACATTCATTACAAGGAGCCACAGGTTAACACAGTCAGTAACTGTTACCAGAATCCTAATGTGTGCTAGAAGTGACAAATATTTTAATAATAATCCTTGAAATTTCTATAGTGATTTTTAAATTTGTTACATAACATTTACAGCATGCAAAGAAATATGTGTAACTAGGTTGATTAAGAAGCCTAAAAATGCAGAGCAAGACCTGCGAAACACACACACACACACACACACACACACACTCTGAAGAGTTCGCACCACACCAGCACTTACGGTGTGCTGACCTGCAGCCCCGTGTGCCCATGTCCCCTTCCTTCGGTGCAGCAGCTGTGTCATGTGAGTGGGCCGAGCAGAGGTCCTTGTCCCAGTCCCAGATGAGAAAGCTGAGACCGGGTGGGCTGCTGTCCCTGTGGGTCCCCGCTGGGCCCAGGCCCGGGTCACAGCCACATGGACACACACAGCTCCCCACAGGCTCCTGTCCGTGGCACCCTCACCTGACTGCTGGCACTCAGTACCAGGGCATGGATTAGATAGGTTCCCAGAATTAGGGAAATACAGATAATCAGGTGGCTTTGAGAGATTTTTTTAATGTGGGAATTTTTTTTACACTCAAAAACTGCTTTTTTCTCATTTTTCAAGAGATGATAGTGTTCTGGATGGCTGTTGATTCCCATTTTCTTTTTTCGGTCGTCCTTACTTAATACACATCAGTCCTTTCCCCTCTGAAATTTGTTAAGTGTATAGGTTCAAAAAAGTTAAGGTTCCAAAGAAATTTTAAAATGTAGCCACTTCTGTATTCAGTTCTTGGAGGCTCAGTTCTCTGGCCCACATGTTAGGGATGCAGTGGCTGAGCCCATAGGATTGTTGTGGCCATTTATTCACTAGGACGGTGCTGTCGAGTAACGGGAGCCGTGCTCAGAACTGTATCCGCACACTCAGAGCCTCAGGCCGGAGACCCGCTGGACAAGAGCCCTTTAGTCTTCTGTTCCCATTAAGCTTCTTGGCCCATGTATGAGAGATGTGGTTGTGCCTGCATCTGTACTCAAGAGAGCAGGCTAGGACCCACTGTGCAAGTTTATAGAGACCAGAGTTCTTCCATCTTAGAATAAACTGCATGATGATACGTCTTTCTTTCCCACTCTTTCTTGATGCCGGCAGTCAGACCAGGAGGAAGATGCAGAGCTCAAGGCACAGGTAGAAAATTGAAAACCAAACAAACCCCCAACCAGTGCGTGCCGAGTCCTTGTCCACGGGGTCCGGGCCTGTCCGCATGCTCCGAGGCTGGCACCGTGTCCGTGCCGTGGTGTGCAGGGTGGCCCTCGACGCCTTGACGATGCTGGCCCTCACCTGTCCCTTTCTCTCCGCTTCTTTCAGAATAGTCTGATTAAGCGAATAAAGGGTGAAAATGTGTATGTCAAACATAGTAACCTTATGTTAGAGGTTGGTACTGGTGCCCACCAGTGCATGCCGTGTGCCGTGTCCCCTGGTGGCATGCCTGTGGCCTTGTGCGGTCCTGCATGACCTGTGTGCCCTCCTGTCACCAACAGGGTGGCCTCGCGGCTTGCTGCGACCGCTCCTTCACTCCTAGATTTAGATCCCTTCCCTCTGTGTATTTGTCTTGATTCCCTCTGGGTACATGTGAATTCTCTGCTGACAGTTTGCCTTTTACAGTCCTTTTGATTTGTAACCCCGTGTGAAACCTTTTTTCTTTCTCTTTTCCCTGGAAACAGCACATTTTCGCCAGTGTTTGTGGTAGTGTCATGAGCCCTGATGAGAATTCTATTTTCTTTTGACTACTAATGAGATTGACATTGGTTTTTTTGGTTTTTTTTAAAAAGTGCAAGCAAAACAAATGGAAAAGCTGACTGTTGGGTTCTTTATGTTCTGAACATAGGAGCTAGATAAAACCCAAGATGAACTGATGAAACATCAAACCAACATTAGTGAGCTGAAAAGAACGTTCTTAGAGACCTCCACAGAGACTGCCGTATCGAGCGAGTGGGAGAAGAGGCTTTCTACCTCCCCCGTGCGGCTTGCGGCCAGGCAGGAGGACGCTCCCATGATCGAGCCCCTCATGCCTGAAGAGGTCAGTGCGCGGTCCTCTCCTGGGGTGGAATTGTCCCCTGCTCACCAACCTTTCTCCGCAGGGTCTGGACCCAGAAAGAGTTTGGCAGCTTCCAGGTAGGGCGCCTCCCCTCTTGTTATAGATGAGAGATGCCCAGCACCCCAGGACAGCTGCAGAGTTGAGTGTGCAGGGGGATGAGCGGGTGGACCAGGAGACGCGGGTAGTCCTGGCCATGGCCTGGGTGTCGCCGCTGGGGGCCCTTGAGAGACCAGCTTAGCACAGTCACAGTTCTCACAAACATGCTTTCTTCTCCATTGAGGAATGCCTGAAAACTCAGATATGCTTCTCACCGATTTCGAGATGAGGCCTGCTGGAGATTGTCCAGGTGGCCTGAGGTAGTTAGCATTTCATGACACATTTTACTGTGCTAGACTACACTGGGATCTTACAGGTAAAATAGTGTTTTATTTGATTTTTACTTCGATCTGGTTGTTTCGTTTGATTTTTTCCTTGGGGAAGATAGAGGACAGAAGTTTTTTTTTAAGTAGGACTTTTCAGTATTGGAAAGCTCCCTGGATATGCAGCCGCGTGGAGGATTCTACCAGTGGCGGTCACTGTGTGGGACCCCAGGTTGCTGCAGTGTTAGTCCGACAGTCTACTGTTAGGTATAATCTTGCTTGCTTTCAAAAGAAGTTGTTTTCAAAAGTGCATCTTTCTAGCATTGTATTAATTAACCTCCTTCATATCAGGATCCCTTCCTTCATTGTGAACTGTTTGTTAAGGAAGCTGAGAGAGACTAGAAAATTAAAACTCTGGCCCGTTAGGAGAGAAAAACCCTTTAAACAGTGGTCTCTGTGCAGTGCTGAAGTCCTTGGAGTGAAAATAAGAATCAAATTACACCTTTTGTTGATCATTTCCTAAACCTCCTTTGAAAGCTGCTTATTGGAAGTGGCCAAGATCCCCTATCACTCGATTCCAGTCCCAGCAAGAAGGGGAGAAGCACGTATCCATTTGAATTATTTTGCAAAGGTCTTTATGTGGAATAAATGAGAAGTATTATTACCAACCTATTCCTGTTCCATTAGACACGAGTTCCATTCAAATTACTTGAGTTTCAAGAGACAAAAATTTTCTTCTGTGTGATTCAAATCTAACAGTCCCTGCATTACTAAAAATACCACTTATCAGTTGTGTCATCACAAATTCTACTGTGATTGGTCAAGTTTGGCTCACACTATTTCTGCTGTCTCTTTTGGAAATAAAGTTCCGCCTGTAAAAATGTCAGTTACCCGATTAATTTATAAACACAAAGTAAACAGCGCCTTAAGCAAAACAAACAAAAAGAGCCAAGCATCTCTTCCCTTGCCGACACATAAGAGCCAGCAGGGGTAGCCACTTGGAAGGAAAATTTAGGTAATGAGCATTTAAGGGAAAGTGCTAATAAACAAGGGGACTTTGAAAGTCAGAGGCATTAAATACTAATTTTTGTAACTTCTGATTAAATCTTGGATCTTAGAGAGTAATGTTGGAGGAACCCCAAGAGTGTTAATGATTTAAGGAGGAGATGTTTTGACCAAACAGGACTTTACCTGGATGTGGAAGCCTTTCTGTGTTAGTGCAAAAACAAAACAACAACAACAACAAAATCAAAACCTGGAGAAGGCCAAGAAGGGATTTTGCAGCATGATCAAAGAAGCGCATCCTCTGCAGAAGAGCAATGCGCCTTGGCTGTCTAGACTGGAAAAGCCCAAAGGCAGGCCTAGAAACTGTTTCTGGTTACTAAAGAAGTTCTGTTGGAGTTACTGTGCAGCACATCTGAGCTCTGGCACCACGCTGCATAGGTGAAATGGCAGGAGGAGTCAGCAAGAGGACTCGGCCCAATACAAGAACCTAGAAACAATGCTGATCCCCAGGCCAGGCACAGTGGCCTCTTTGTTCCCTTCTGTTCTTCTCCAGGGCCTGCTGGTCACTGATGAAGTCCCAAGTCCATAGTCCAGTGGGGGCCCTGTTGATAGACTTAACAACAAATCAGAAGGTTCTTACAATGTAAATTACTGTCGACTTATATGAAAACCGTGGCTTCTGTTATTTGTTTTGTGAAAAGCATGAAAGATCATTTTATCCTCCTCACTAAACACATACAAAGCATATTTTGGAGGGAGCCAATTTTCAAAGTAAATTGCTATATTAGTCAGCTTTCTCAATTCTGGGACACAGGACCCAACGCCAACAACTTAAGGGAGTTGAGGTGTATTTTGGTCATGGTTTCAGGGGATTCAATCCATGTTTGGCTGGCTCCGATGCAAGAATATCATGGTGAAAGAACATGGGAGAGCAAAGCTGCTTTAGTTTATAGTGGCTGGGAAGCAGAGCAGGGGAACAGTATCCAAGAGAAAGAGACAAGGAAGGACACACCTCCGTGACCCATGCAGACACCCCCACAAGTATGCTTTACCAAGCCGGTCAAGTTCACAACTAAGCTTAATGATCACAGTTACTATTATTTATTATGGCCCATTTTAAAGTCATGCAACAATAATCAGCCAATTTATAAAGAAGCCCAACTATTTCTAAATGGAAATATTTAACTTAATTTTTTAAAAATTGATATCTCACATTAATAGTATTTGTGGCAGAACTGGAGGAAACTTAGATTCAGTGATGCCAAACTTAGTGGAGTTTGCTTTTTTTTTGTAAATCTCAGTGATAAAACAATATTTTGAGAAAAAAACCCTAGCATCTCTGATTTTAATATGACCATTTTCCTCCTTTGCTTTTTTTTTATAGTGTCTGAATCCTAAGTAATTGTTATCTCTTTAATATACTACCAATTTAGGAACAGAAGAAAATTTGAGTTTTAGAAATATACTGAGCTAATAATGATGATTATATTCTGAGAATTCTGTGTGTTTACTATATAAAATGAGCACTTGGTTGCCATTGGTTTCAAGTTTCAGATATCTCAGTTAATAGCAGATAAGTAGCAAAGATGCCTCCAGAGCCTAAATAATATCAAGTCCTCTTAACATTGGAAAATAAACAAAACCGTACATAGCCAGGGCCACCAACTGTAGGAAGGGCCGGATGCGGCCAGAGAAGGCTCCTGGGTGTGCATCTGTGCCCAGCTGTGTCCTGTGCCGGCTGTGTATTACACCCCTAGGCAGCCCGTAAGAGGTACATTACTTAATGGTTACTTGGAGTCTAGAAATTTCCAAGCCTCACTCAAAATGCAATATCCACTCCTACATGTGCAGTACTAATGCTGTCCTCTTTGCCAGGTGAGTGATAGATTTGCAGGTATGTTCACTGTACAGGAATCCCTGGAGCTAGATGCCCAGTATTCACAAATTCTATATTTTCAAATTTACCTACTCCCTAAAATCTATTTGTAGAAATACTTAATCACCCAAGAGCAAAGGGCAGTTTTATGAATTCTATTGTTGTTTTTTGGTACTAGGGATCGAACTCTGGACCTTGCGCTTGCGCGGCAGGTGCTGGAACCACTGAGCTAAATCCCCGGCCCATGAATTCTGTATGCCGGCATAGGACATGATTTCTCAAGTATAAGACAGAGATTAATGTGTAGGTAACTGAGATGGTCAGGGTATACATCTGACTGTCTAAACTCCATTAACATGCATGTTAGATTGTCAGATTTTCTTTCTTGGTTCCTCTTCACTTCTCTAGTAGCTGAACTTACTGGGTGGAGAGGTTGGCCACCTCTAGAATTAAGTTCTAAGGTCTGTCCATTTACATTTCCTGTTTTTATTTGACATACACAATAGCCTATGTTGACATTTCCAATGATGAGACAGTTTTAAAATTAGTTTGTTTCAGACAGCAGGTTATGCTGAAAACCACTATTTAGCTGCTGAGCTTTTTTTTTTGACGTTTTCATTTTAGGAATAATATTTAGCTCAGTGATTGCAATTAAAGGCCCAGCAGTGTTATTCCGAAGAGCACCTATAATTTTGACCTCTTCCTGTTTCTCATTTCTGTTTGGAAAAGAGGCTATGGTTCAAAGTTGAAAAAAACCCCACATTTAATGATTCCACATGGCACATTTTATCTTTTCAAAGACCCTCCTCCAAAGCTGCGGCAGAATAGGGTTTTCTTCTCCTTTGAAAATGATTTATTCATCTGTCATTACGAAGGGTCACCTGAGCTTGGCACTGTCAGAGTCTGCCAGTGGCCCCACAGAACACTGTAGACATCCCCTAGTGCATCTTGCAGGCAGCTGATTCAATGTGGGACTTGCAGAGAGGTAGAAAATTGGAATGTTCAGTATTCCCCGTAAAATTACATTGTTTATAACATATTTAAAGAATCCCATTCTTCCAGAAACTTTGAACTTTCCATGATCATCTTTTAGACTAATTTTCCAAAATACCCTCTCTGTCCCTGCTTTATGGAGTTACACGCTGTGCAGAGATACTTTCGGTAGCTACTGTGTTACCCCCTTCAATTATTGTGACCATGTGAAAAAAACGGAATAAAAAAGAATTAAAAAGTAAAATAACTAATTCACAAGAGCAAATATTTACTTCAGTGTTTCTAATTTTATAAGTTAAAGTATGATTTGATCTACTTAATTTTCCACCAAGATATTTTGAATTTAACTTCTAAAAATTATTCATAGCAGCGCATGGAAGGACTAACCTGTAATCTCAGTACTCTGAGAGTCTGAGGCAGGAGGATGAAGTTCACTGGCCAGTTTAGCAACTTACGGAGACTTTGTCTCAAAATAAAAGAGAAAAGCTGGGCTGGGGATTTGTCTAAGTGTGAAGGCCCTGGCTGGAATCCCCAGCGCCACCAAAAAACAAACAAAAAAACCTGCCATGTTATAAAAGTTCAAATTTTGAATATTTTTTACTTGTGGCACAACAAAGAAATCAGTCTAATATAAGTAGGGTTTATTCAAATTAGTGACTAGTGAATTTTGTGTGTATTTCGCTACCTGTAACAGGCAGCACGTGAGTGGGGAATGCAACCAAATATCAGAATAGAACGAGGATTTATTCTTCGCTTAAGTTTTTATTAAGTTTCTTTATATTTCCATCTAATGTTCACTTTGACAGTCTCGTAGATAGCTGTGACACGAACAGCATTCAAATGCAGAAATTCTTTATATCACTCTTGTGTGTTTCATGTTTGTAGAAATAAAAAATGTTTGGTTCATGTAAGCATCCACGTTTCAGAAAATAATCTGTTACTCTTTGGAATAATAATTAAATTTTGAGATGGCTTCAGACCATTTTTCAAATTAGTAAGCAATAATTCACTTCAAGAAAAATTTAATGAATGCTATAAGTCTCTCTATCTATCTATCTATCTATTAAAAAGGATTCTCTTCCTAACTTGCCTTTTTGGAAACTGTCTACTTCCTCTTCTCCAACCCAACCCCCTTTATTCAAACAGACCAAAGAAGAAACAGAGATTTCCGAAAAAGTTATATTTTTGCAGCAAGGAAGTTCTGAGTCTCAGGTAAAAAACAAATTTGCAGGCTTTCCCAAAAGGAACTATTCTTTCTGAGTTGCATGTCACTAAAGTGTCTTTAGGTTTTTTTTCCTTTTCAAATGTATCTGGTTTAAAACTAAGGTAGGTGTATCATTTTTGCTTAGATTCTGGGGAGGGGAGAAGAGAATTTTCTTAATATTTTAGTTACTTATTTCTTTATGACTTCTAGGTGATTGTGTCTCTGCTTCTTAGGATTGAAACTGTGACTGTGCTTTCTAATAATAATCTTACTGAAATTGTTTACCACCTGTTTTTACCCATAGAATGGTGCTAATTTAGGTGACCTTGGTTGAATTTGAAAGTTCTGAATTTGTACTGGTTTTCTCAATAGCCGAGTGTGATAAAGAAAATTCAAGAAAGAGATTCGGCTGGGTCTGTGACTGCTTCTCATCAGATAATTTTCCAGAAAACTGTCCCATCAGCTCTAGGGGTTATTTTTTCAGTTCATTCAGTCCACACCTGCATGTAGATCAATCTGTAATGATTTTTCTTCTGGTACACTTATATCAAAGTCAAGTTTTCAGGCTGTGATCAATATGAAAGTAGAGACTATCCTAGCTTAAAATGAAAACCAATTTGTTCCCTTGCTCCTGATTTGATTTCTCTTCCCTCTTTAGCCTGTTACGCATCACATCATCTTAGGTTTTCCTAACAGCAAAAGTTTCTTTACATTTTACTTCTTCCACCTTGTTGGAACTAACACCAAAGAAAGTAGAAGACAAACTACTGAGACAGAAAACTTCAGTTGCAATTAAGATCGGAACACTGTACCAACTACTAGGGCTTATTTATAAAAGGATTATTATTATTTATAAAAGGATTACCAACAGTGCCCTATGGAGAGAAGTATTTCCTTGTATGCCTTGAACTCAGGCCCACTCAGTATTTATTGGATAGTTAAGTACAATCATGGATCTGCTTCCCTATATACGGAAGTGCAATTCACAAACACAGAAAATGGTATATACAGAAATTCGTAGAACAGTGGCAAATTCTTTGTAGGAAATGCCAGTATATGAAGCATAGTATTATATTTAACATGGAAGCTATTCTTTCGGGCCCATAGACCTAAAGCTCAATAACTCACACAGCTTTAATAATCTTATCTAATCTTGAAATACAAAATAATCAGAACTATACTATAAGGTCAAAGACAGTCCTTGCAAAACATACCACCAAAATGTGTTCCAGTTTAAAGAAACATCTGCATCTGAAGTTGCAGGTCTACCCTGCAGACAGTACTTCAAGTTGAAGGTCATAGTTCGTACATTTCAGATGAGGAGAGACTGCAGCCGTAATTATTAGACAAAACTGCCAGTCCTGTGCGACCCATCACAGACCTCTTACCCTGAAGTTCTTGCCCTGATTTTTGAAATTTTTTAATTAGTATATCTTTGCAGTACATAATCATTACATGCAGCATGGGCAGTTGGTACATGCACATAACACATCTTCGTTCTTTTTATGTCCCTTCCTTGAAGGATTCACATTTTAGAAATGAGATACCATCAAGATTTCTAATTTAGCTTTTGTATTTCAAATATAGGGCACAGAGGACTGGGTTATTGTAGACAAAATACCCACTGAGGTAGTTGATGGTGATTCGAGAAAGACTGTAACTTACAAGGTGGTGACCATGAGCGGTAGATCAGGTGACATCCCGGCGGAGCTGCTGAAGTCCAGCATGATTGAGATCCACACCTTCGATGACCTGGCCCGAGAAATGCAGCTGAAAGAAGAGAGCCAACAGAAGCTGTACACTCTGGGGAAGTCCTATGACACCGTGTCAGGAAGAATTGTTACGATGACAGGGAAAGGGAAGGATGGGGAGAGGGCACCCCAGCCTTGCTCACTGGAAGCGCTTCAGAAGATGCAGACGGGAGTGTCGGAGCCGGGGAAGGTCATTCCCATCCTGGCGGAATTCGAGGTCCTGCAAGCCCTGGCTGATGAGAAATCTAAGAGAGGACCCGAGGTCCAGACGCCAAAGCGCAAGTTGTCAGAATCCCTGACGCCCATCAAGGAAGCTGAATCTCGTCTCCAGAGTCCAGAAGATGACCCCAGGAAGACCCCCGTGCTGGCGGACCAGGTGGCTGCCCACCCTCGCCCTGAAAGTGGACGGTTCAGCAAAGCGGAGCAAGCTCCAGAGGGCGAGGTGCTAAAAGTGGGACTCTTTGGGCCCCGGAGGAAGAGCCTGTCCGAATGGAGATATTCCCAGGAGCCGGGCGTCACAGTTGCTACTGCTCATTACGTCACCGAGTCGTCCGCGTCCCGAGTGGTGGTAACCAGTGGCTGTCATTCGGTCACAGTTTTAAGATTCCAGCATGACATTTCTCAAGGCAGTGCCCTTCCACCCTGAGCCTTCCCGTTTCTCTTCGCTGCTTGGCTTTATGTTGAGAGCAGCCAGCCCAGCTTTTTTATTTTTTTCATGGTTAAGTCAATACCGCAGTCCAGAGTCGGCATTGTGACACTTTTCCTTTTCGTTTCCAGCTGCGCGTCCCCAAGGTGTGATAGTGCTGCTGTGCCTTGCAATGGAGGGGAAAATGATCTGCTTACATCGGCTCCCCCGTAATCCTAACAACTCTGCTTCGCCCCCGGAGCTCACGGTCACCCAGTTTGCTGTTTTAGTTCCCATTCTTTTCTGTTTCCAGTCTGTACCTTGGATCCCTTCATTTCTCCTCGTCCCTTTTCCTCTGCCTACGATTTGTCTAACGAGCTGTGAATGCTTGTGTGCCCCATGTGTCTCCCTCGAGTGCGTGACTCTCTGTCTCTCTCTCTTCACTCAGACTAAGCAGTCTTCTGGAGAAAAGCTCATGGACGGCTCTGAAATCCTCAGTTTATTAGAGTCGGCACGCAAGCCCACAGAGTTCATAGGCGGGGTGACTTCCACTTTGCAGAGCTGGGTGCAGGTGGCCCTTTGCTTCCGTCCCCGATTCCGAATGTGCACGTTTGCCTTGCTCTCTGCCTTTGTGGCCGATGCCCTGTGTGTTTCAAGTCACTCTGCCTTCGGTGTCTCACAGGTTTCCTGATTGTCCTTTGTGCCTGCTGAGCATGTCTGTCATGTGCCTTGGGCTCCGTTTCAAAAATCCTCCACATATTCAAAAGGCAATCACGTTGAGAAAATGTAATCGCTTTTCATGTTCAGAAGCATCAGATCTCATCTCTTGCATCTGAGAAAGCAGCCAAAATTGATGTGAATATGCTTCGATGCTTTCGCACTTTTTTTGGTTTGTGGTGTTTGGGGGTGTTTTGAAGGCACAGTGTGGGGCCTGGCGTGTGTCAGGGTTGGCATGCATCAAAGCTCACTTTCTGTCAGCGTTTCTGACTGTAAGCCCTAGATGCTGGCTTCAGTCAGCCCAGTGAGTGGCGGCTTTGGTTTTTTGCTTCTGTTTCTGTTTTGACTTTCGGTTCATGGAGCCACTCTGACGCCACACTCTCTTTCTCATGCAGAAGGTGGAAACCAAGACAGAGTCCAGCGAAGCAGAGACGGAAACGACCCCGCAGCCCCAGCCGCTCGGCACCGAGAAGCTGGTGCAGGAGACCATGCTGGTGGAGGAGCGGCGCGTGATGAAAGTGCATGCGAGCGGGGATGCTTCTCACACCGCGGAGGACAAGGCAGAGACTGCAGCACAGCCTGTGCCCAGCGGTGCTCCTGGCGTGAAGGGGAAGGAGGTCGCCAAAGAGGAGAGAGGGACGGAGGCCGAGAGACCTGACCTAGGACAGGATGACATAGCCACTGCCTCCCACAAGCAAGAGGAGGACCGGGGAGCCGCCGTCCACGTTTCTGAAGCCCCGGAGCCAAAGGCTCATTTCGAGGTAAGGAGTATGTAATGCTGTTCCGAGCACGAAAGTCGCCTGATAGATGATGAGCTGAAATGAGTTGGGCCTGAAGGTGCAGCTAATCGCCCACCCTTCCTGGGTGTAGTTTGTTTTTCCACCTACTTCCCTCTTGCATGGCAGCTGGGTTTCTCCAAGATGGGGTCCCGCTCTGGGGCCACCGCAGACCTCTGTTGATTATTGATAACGTGCTGCTCCAGGAAGTGGCTTCTGTCACTGAAATCATCGTCACTGGCAGCAACCCCAAGGGAGAGAAATGGTTCGCCAAGATGTTAGAAAATTTGATAGATTTATCATCTCTCATCAATATACTCATCCAGAAGGACCCAATCACGTTTGCCCAGGTTCCAAGTACCAGGAAGTTATTTTTGATTCTCTTCTATTGAGATTCCTGAGATATGTGGGGCACTAATGTCTTAATACTTGTTCTAAATTATTAGAAATCTTAAAGTGTTTCTGTTTTTTTTTTTTTTTGGTACTGGGGATCTAACTTGGGACCTTGCACTTGCAAGGCAAAAGTCTTAAAGTTCTGACTCTAAGATTAGTATATGAGATTGAAAGGTGGAACATAAAGACAGTGGTTTTTGTAAAAATTTTTTTCATCTAAATGTTTTCTTTACCTGTAGTGTTCTGTATTACAAACACTGTGGACTTGATGGAGATTGAAGTACATTTGTTGTGTGCCTCATTACCCAACTGAGTCCCAGTGTGATATTTAGATACTGGTTCTTAAGCTTACGTCAAGTACTACAATACCAAAGCATGCCAAAGCAGAGAGGAGAACCCAGGGCTGTTTGTTCAGACTGTAACTGCTGCTCTATCCATTTGTCTTGGCCACAGTCGTCAGCCACGAAGACGGAAACCATCAGTTTTGGCGGTGTTTCCCCAGGAGGTGTCAAACTAGAAATTTCTACCAAGGAAGTGCCAGTAGTTCACACGGAGACAAAAACCATCACGTACGAATCATCACAGGTAAGACAGTCTGTGCAGTCCACGCCTCGGGCATTGCAGCTAAAGCTACAAATACCTGACTGGTGAGACTTACAGGCCGCACCTGGACCGCGTCTGTCCTTTAGAACTGAAATTGCTTCCTGACCATGGAGCAGCAGGTGACTTCACTAGATCTTAACATGTGTGGAAACGTAGCAAAAGCCTCAGGACCGCCTTCGGAACCGCAGCTACGAGGGTGCATCCACTCTGTCATCTGCTGCTCACACTCCTAAAGTGCCTGTGTGTTAGTGCGCAGAGGTTAACTGGTCTCTGCTCAGCTCCTGCGTGGCCCGGTAGCTCCCAGACCAGATGCTCGCGGGGCGTCATCCTCTTTGGCTGTGGAGTTGGCACCCCAGGACTGGTGGGTGACCCAGACCTGCGGGTGCTCGGTCTCTGGAACAAGCCGGCAAAGCATTTGCTTACAGCCTGTGCGCCTCCTGCCTGTTACTTTAAATCATCGCACAACACACTGTAAACGCTGCATCATCGGCTGTTCTACTCTGTTACTCAGGATGAATGGGGAGTAAAAGTCCGTACCTGTTCATGAACAACTCCTAAGTCCCCTCTCAGTGACATAATGAGCACAGCAGGCTTCTGCGGGCTGGGCTGTGTGAACAAGGGCTGCGTGTCTCCGCTTCCTTAGGTCGATCCTGGAGCTGATCTGGAGCCAGGCGTGCTGATGAGTGCCCAGACCATCACGTCGGAGACCACCAGCACCACTACCACCACGCACATCACCAAAGTAAGCGGGCGGAGCTGGGCCTGGGCGGGAGCTGGAGGAGGCACCTATGGGGGCTCCTGACAGATGGGTGTGGGGACAAACAGATGACTTTTGCGGTGCCAGGCGCTTTAGCTGCAAAGGGAGCTCTTCCGGCTTCCATATTTGTGATGCGCTTGCCCCGTACACTGGCTTCTGCTGAGGAGCATTCACTCTCACACCTTGCACTCACCGCTCACTCTGCTGCTGGGCACAAGGCAGGTCTTCCAGAAACCCTGGCTGCCCAGACCCAGAGGCCTCCTCTGTCTCCTCATCGCTGGAATTAAATTTGCTCAGTAACTGCCATAGTCCTGTTTCAGCTCTGGAAGAGCGAGTGTGGATGCTGCATAGCGCTGTCACCCTTTCTGGCGCTCCCAGCCGGAACAGCGGCTGTTCCTGCCAGTGGTTAAATTTCCCCACTCTCCTTGTTCCCTCCAGACTGTGAAGGGAGGCATCTCGGAGACGAGGATTGAGAAGAGAATCGTCATCACGGGAGACGCCGACATCGACCACGACCAGGTAGTGTTAGGAGGCGCAGGCTCCCTTGGCAGATGCAGAGTAGACGCACTGGCCCCGAGCTTCCCTGGGCTCTTCTAGCCCCGCATATGTTCTAGGAAGTTTTCTGAATTCACTTTCCCACATGTGATTCTTGGTTCCTTTTGTAATCGCTGTACCTCACGTGTAAATATGATGGATACAGATTTAGCTCGTAAGTCTACATCTTGCTGCCGCTCATGCATGTCCCACCTCCTTTTTCTTTTTGCCCTTCTGTGATGTCCTGGGGACAGGCGCTGGCTCAGGCAATTAAAGAAGCCAAAGAGCAGCACCCTGACATGTCAGTAACCAAAGTAGTGGTCCATAAAGAGACAGAGATCACACCGGAAGACGGAGAGGATTGACCGAGGTAAGAGCGGCTCCGGTCGCTAGGCTCGCCTGCTGGCATGTGGCATGGACTGGTTCCCTCTCACCCCTCGCCTGCTCCCTCCTTTCCTCTTCTCCCTCGCCGGCGTTTGTGGGCCTGGTTCCCCAGAGGATGAAGCACCGGACACCAGTTCGGCTCAGATTGTGTGGCTCCGACTTGCGGTGTTTTGCATCTGCCACCAGTGAGAGGGGAAGGGAGAGCGATCACTGCTTGAGTGACCTCACCACTGTGGTCTTCTAACCTGCGCCCTGCACTCTTCATTGTCCAAATCCGAAATGCCAAACTTGACCTCCCTTGCCCTGGGGCCCAATCAGAACTAACGCAGCTTTGTTCTGAGAGGTGCAATTTGTGTGTTCCAAGTCCAGGGAAATTAAATAGACCCCTTTCTCCTTTTGATAACATCCTCCCTTGGAAGCTTGCTCTTCAGCTGTGTTCGGTCACAGCCTGCTTAGGATTTGTGGGTGTTTTTTGTTTTTCTTTCATTTGAAACCTGAGCATACACTTCCTTTCTGGATGCCGTCTATTTCCTGTATTCTGTAAGATGACTTGTACTGTTGTCTCTCAGGAGAGGCAAATACACAGCCGTGTGTCCTGTTTTCCTCCAAACACTGCATGCCTTGCCATTTGCTGTGTGGCCACAGCCTAAGCACACCACGTCCCCTGTGCGTGCACAGACTTGTCGTGCGTGCTGACCCCCTAGGGACTCATGGGGCGTGAGCATCCTTAGGGAGCTCTGAATGCTGGATGGAGCAGTGGAGCTTCTTGCACATGTGCTTATGGGATAAAACTTTGCAGAGACTTAGTAAACAAGTTCTCTAACACAGGTTTGGAGACCTTGAGGCTGATGAGTAGCATCACTCAGAGAAAAAAGAAATTTTAAAGTCGCTTCTATTCAATGAGTAGTGTATTGGGAAAATGGAAAGCAAACAGATTTTCTTCACTGAGCTGCAGCCACTTGGGTGATGTGATTATTTACGAGAAAGCATATGAGGCAGTGACACAGGCTGCAGTGTTGCCGTGTCTTGTCAAAAAGAGCATTTCACCTGCAAGAGACTCCCCTGTGACCTTGACCTGAGCAGTATTCTCAGGTGTTTTCAAGCGAGTGACTAATCAGCTCTCTTTTCTACAGGAATAACGTGGCTTGCACATGAATCCAATATTTGCAAACCATTAGGAAAACCAGAGCCTCTAAGGAGTTGCCACTTCTAACCCAGCTGGCTTGTATCTGTCCGTGGAGAATTCCAATCCAGAAGAATTGGCCTTGACCTTTCCTAAAGACACTGGCAGGGAGGTCTTCCCATAATAAAGCAATCTAAATCAGCATCACTAAACTGATAATGCATGAAGCAACGATAAAATTACAAACAAGCGACATTTTTCCTTTTCACAAAATGTCTCAGTTTTCTGCTGTACCTGCACGTTCACAGCCAACACTATAAACCGTGATCCTCATGTAACACATCAACAGTTCATGCCTTTCATAGTTTATTATTATTAAAGTCTCAGCAAAATTGCAATTTCTTAGGTGACAGATCTGTTTACAGATACATGAAGGTTACCCTACAATGCTAGAATCTGGCTAGGTCGGTGTGTCCGATTTACCCCAGATTAGATGTGCCAATAACCGAGTCTATTCAGTAAACAACTTGAATCTTGTACTTGTTTCATCTGGTTTTATTATTCTCAGCCGTAAATGGTAAAGACTCTCTGACCCTCTGGCAATATTTAATGCTTACAATCTTGCTTTGTGCATCTAATTTAATCCGTTAAAAGGTAGTACTGATGTTAGCATATTCGTGTGATTTCTTCCTCATTGTTCGCTTTGGTCTGCGTTCAATCTGGAAAGAGTTCCCTAACAAGTCTTGAATATGTAAATTGTCATTGGATTGGGAAGAAAACCTGTGTTTTTGTTAGTTTACAATATTAGGAAATTTCCCTCCCAGAAAACCCAGCAGGCTTCTGTTGCTGGGTTCTTTGTTTCTTTTTCCTTGTATATGTTTCATTGAATTTCTTCTTTTACTTGAAAAAAAGAGTTTTATTTCCAAATCTGGTCCATATTTACAATCTAGTTCAGAGCCAAGCCTTAAACTGTACAGACTTTCCACTGTAATTAAAACTATTTAGTGTTTAGTTATAAATAGCCTTCAGAAATACATATTCTCCATCACACTGTCAACTGCATTACACCCTGTGGTGAATGATGTTTCTGCATAGCAAAATAAAAATAACAAATGCATCAAAAATTCTCAATTTTCCATGTTCAATAATTTCAGTGCCAAGTGTGTTGGGCCCTAAGGTAATGGGTGTGACATCAGAGGCCCCCTTCACTCCTTTGACTCACTGTAGAGAGACCTTGCGTGTACCAGACTGATATGTGTGCGCTACACTCCATGTATGGAGCTTTCAAGGGGCTGGCAATGTGAGCAAAATATCTTTATATAAATGCTTGGCTCCCTGCGGTGGCTTCAAAGACGACCTCATGGAATCTCATTTTAATTTTTTTGCTTGTTTTTTGTTTTTGTTTTTGGTACCGGGGATCGAACTCATGACCTTGCGCTTGCGAGGCAGGCACAGTGCCACTGAGCTAAATCCCTGGCCCATCTCATTTTAATTTTAGTTTTGTTGATAGTCAAGAGGCTCTGTGTTGCTGAGTGCTACTAATCTACCAAAGAGCCACTTCTCTTTGGAACATCAGCCCTCAAGTGGAATAAATCCACCAGTGCCTACCACAGAGGCCCGTCCCACAGCCTGATCGTGTCCACTCCTCAGCTTGTCCTTCAACGTCATTTTAATTATTTGTGGTCAGTCAAGATTTTTTAAAAAGTAATACTTCATTTAGGCCTCTTTATATGAGCGCACTTTAATCTTTTTAGTTTGGGTCCACATTGTACCTTTACCCGCCGTTCTAATCCAGGTCTGTGTTTTCATGTTTCTCTGTCCTTGGCAATAAGTACTCTTATTTCTGTGAAATTATACTGTTATCAAGAGTTCCATGTTCCAACCTGCTTTTCTTTCTTTATGGTGCTCTTCACCTTGGTTCCAAAGCCTGTCCCACGTATTTAGGTATTTGTGACAACAGTACCCTCCTCCTGGTACCAAATCTGTTTTTATTGTTATAGAAAAATTATCCAAAAGCCAAAAAGTAGTGGCTGCACATGAAACACATGTATTGTCTCCTGGAGTCTGGGCATGGAGTGGAAGGGCTCTCAGAGACTGCAGTCAGGGTGTCAGCTGGGGCTGGGTCTCATCTGAAAGCCACACGGGAGGGGACACTCGCAAGCTTCCTTGGGCTGTTAGAAGACTTTACTTCCTGGTGGTCATGGGGCTCGTGGCAGGTTGCTTCTTCATAAGCGAGCAACAAGGAGGAAATGCTAGCAGGTGTAAGCAAGATGGTGTCTTCTATGACACAGCGTAGCCGGGGGGTGGCTTCCTATCACCTTGCTGTCCCTGTAGCGTCTCCATAACTTGGACTTAGTGATTAGTCAATCCCTAATCCAATAGTTTTCAAGCTAGAGTTCACTGACACATAAAACTGTTAAATGCTCAGGCAGTCTCTGTTTCCGTTAGCCATGACTACTGTAGTGTGCAAAGGAACTTGGATACTGTACTTCAGAAGCCAAAGAATTCCACTAGAGATAACCATCCTTCACAGAAAACCATTCTTCTCAGTTTGCCCCAAGATTCAAGTCCAGTGTGGTGAGGAAACAAGAATTTAAGGTTCTCTTGAGTAAGCAGAAAAACAAATTGCAAACCTAAAGGCATATGGACTAGCCTACTGATAACCTGTGGTTTCATCCAGATCACACAAGAATCTGCAGAAACATTAGTTACAGTCTTAACAAGCCTTTTAAAAACCTCTGCATTTTCTCTGCACTCTTATAGAGTGCACTGCAAAGCTCAGTGCAGACTCCAGATCCCCAAATGTGTGCTGCTGCAGTGAGAGAAAGGAGGGCACTGCTCAGGGTGTGTGGCTTTTGCCTTGCTTCTCTCTCCCAGCTGAGTTCCCCATTCCCCTCCACTCTGATTCTTCGCAGACTTCACAGGCCTGCCTTGACCCTCCACTTAGGCTCAGTGCGTTGGATCCTGCACCTGGGGGATCGCTTGACTCATTCTTTTAAACAATTACTATAATCCACTTCCTTATATCAGCATCTCTCTAGAACATCTGTTGCTCTGTCATTTAAGTCAGCATCAACTCTAGCTATTTGTTAATTACACAGAATCTAGAACTTGAATCCAAAATCATTTCTAACTTACAAGCTGTGGTTATATATACTCTTCATTAAATGCCTCCCCACCTCTCTCTCTATGCCAGCCAGTGGAAGAAATGTCTGCCGTAGCTTGGATGGAGACGGCCTTGTATTTTAATGGACACTTACTCATGAAGCAAACCTGGACTGCTCCATCTTTTAAAAAAATACATTTTTGTGCTATGCATGTAAAATTGTGCTCTCAGAAATGACAGTTTGATTTTCTTAGAGCGTTTTAGCTCTGCAGAAAGGGAATGAGGAGCAGCTGCAGATATTAACACACACATATGTTACGCACTTGGCAGGAGAAAGCCCAGATCTGTCCCTTGTTGCCCATCCCAGAACACCTTCCGCCTGTGTTTGCCACCACGAAATTACAGGACCCTGAAGGATGTCTCACGTGAAAATGAGGACAAGTCTAGCTAGGAATAAGAAGTGGTTTTTACGGGTATCCTGTTCATCCTGTTAGGTGAGTCAGAAACTTGGAGACCTTCACATGCTGCCTGTCTCGATGGTCCCTTCCCCAGCCTGCTGGTGGGGTCTCATCACTTCCTCTTTGATGTAACCACAGCACTGTGTCCAGTGACTGTGCAGCCTGCTGACAGCACCCCACAGGGTCCCAGCCCCTTGTGCTGTCGCAGTCTCTTGAGGGTTAAAGTCTCATCCTGTCACTCCCAGCTTAAAATGTGTGCTTGGCTTCCCATTGCTCTCAGTAGAAAGTCCTGAATTCTTCACACATGCAAATATGGCCTGTAGCCCTCCATGGTCTGGCTCCTGGCCACATGCCCAAAACGATCACCACTCCGGGTCCCTCTTCCCTGCCACCGCCCTAATAAGAGCTGACACTGCCCCTGGCCATTTCACCAGCCCCCGATTTTACCTTCAGTCTGAGCTCACATGAGCCTTTCTGGATTTTACCCGTCAGTCTTCCCTGCTGTACACTCACAAAACAGCATTGTCTAATAGCATTGTCACTTGCATTGTGCACTTGTCTACTCAGCTCCTTGAATGGTTTTCTTCTGGAAGTCATGTCTTCCAGACGGCAGCCCACCTCAGTGCAGTGCCTGGCTTGTAGAGTGGTGCTCAATGTTTGCACAAGTGGGTGAACGTTCTGATAAAGCTATCTTTGCTAGGGTAAATTTGAATCATTGATATTTTTTTCCGGAAGCCCAAAAGTGGTTGTGAACCCAATGAAGGAGCTGGAAGCAGAAGTGTTTCCGCTAGAAGAGGATTTCCTGAGGAAGTCTCTGCTGCCTCTGGTCCCTGCCCACTCGCTATGTGGAAGGTGCTCTGCAGCCCTGCGTCATTAGGAGGGACAGGGGGATTCGACTCCCTGGGTAGTGGGGGTGACCACACATCTGCTACTCAGCCTCAGGTTCAAGTCTGGTTCTCAGCATGCTCGAAAGCTTGTGCATGTGCAGGTGGCCTTGAGAGCTGGTGCAGCCCCGAGAAGAAGCCAGGTGGGAATTGTCACCAGATGCATCACATGTGGGCAGCAGGAGGCTCGCCCGCATGTGACACCTTTCCCAAGGACCCGAGTCCCCTGGTCTGCGCACAGTGGATGGAGAGGGTAGCACAGGCTGAAGGCTCTGAGTTCTGTTTCACTCCTCTGCTTCCTCCACACGTGATCTTTCCTTCCCAGGCTGTTTTGTGTCCTCACCACCTCTCATCTGGTCTTTTGCATTCATTGCCCACTGGCTCGCCCTTCTGTTGTCCCACCACCCTTTAGGGTACTCACTTTGCTGATCATCTCAAGACATCATCATGGCACAGCTAAGGAGCCTTCGGTGGCTTCTCAGTTGTCCCCTAGGGCTCCTCTCTAATACCTAAACTTGACACCATGGATCGCACCGGCTGCCAGCTTTCTATTTTTCACACAATTCCACAATACCAAGTTTATACTTCCACCAGCCTGGCCGACACACACCAATGTTCACAGCACTGTGACCCAAGTGATAGAGACAACCCAAATATCCACCAAAGATGGGTCAGTCTTAATATTTCCATACAATGGAATATTATCTAGGCATAAAAAGAATGGAGTTCTGACACATGCCAGGAGATAGAGGACTCTTGAAAATGTGGTAAGTGAAAGAAGCCAGACACGAGAAGAAAAATACAACATGGTTCCACTTGTACGAGGTGCCTAGTGTAGCCTTTAAATGGAAAGCAGAATGGTGTCTGGAAGGGCAGGAGGAGGGTAGGGGAGTTTCTGCCCAATTGCTCACTCAGGCAAAGGTTGTAGCTAGAGTACATCTTAGCACACTGAGGAATCCACTGGGCAGTTCAATGAAGCTGCCCCTCAGGCGATCAGGGCCAAGCAGCCCGCTGTGCACTCTCCAGTTCAGCCAGCGTCTTCATCAGCCCTTCGTCCTGAGCAGGCATCCCAGGAAAGCCGCTGCTGCAGAAGACACACGAAGAGGAAGAAACAGACTGCGTAAGTGGAAGAAGAAGCAGAACCCCTCAACCACAGCCCCGTATCACACATGTACCCCAATAAATGCCCAGCACTGCGGAGGAGCGGGGAGTACAAACAAGTGCTTTTACAAACTACAACATCACAGCAGAAGCGAGAAAGTCAGTAGAATAGGAATTTGGGGGAATCTCAAAGGTGGAGCATAAAATGAAAAGAGGTGGGAAAATGTGAGACATCATAAAAGTGCCTGGACCAGCATCGTCTGAATCGCTGAAGGTGTGGACAGTGGACCGATCATTGCTGCAGCTCACGGACATTTCTCAGCTTTGGAGTCGTTCTCAGGCGGTCATAGGGCCCCACCTTTGGGCTGCCAGTCTGTCGTAGCTGCCCAAATGATAATGTGTTTGGGAAATACATGTGAATGGTAGAAACTGAAATAAAATCAAAGAAGTGGTTAACACGAAAGCAGGATGGAGGTTATTTCCGGGAGGCTAGGGTGGGGAGGGTAAAGATAATCCACAAATTGATTCCTGTTCTCTAACCTCTGTGCACACTCTTTACACTGCTGTGCAATTTCAA